CTCCAGCCTGTTGCTCTCCTGCAGCTGTAAAATCCCCAGAGTGATCTCGTCTCTGAACGGAGAGCCTGCGGAGGAAAGAAAGCCGAGTCGAATTCAGTCATGACTAAGGTTTATGTGGTGAATTAACACAAGTATAACTAAACTGAATTAAATTTAGCTACAGGGAATCATTTGGTCCTGACTGGAGCGATCAAACCGGCTACGTTTTTAGTCTTTTTCCAATTTATTGAAAGTGATTTTAATGGATCATCCTTTTTTCTGTTATACTGTCTTTTTTTTCTGATCTGGTTCCTGTTCACACTGACTTTATTACAAACAAACCAAAAGCTGTGAGAACAGTGGTCATGTGAACCCAGCAGCAACCTCTGGGGCTGAAAAAAAGTTCAGTTCCTGCAGTTCCTGTAATGACCACTTGAGGCTGGTTCCAAAAGTGAGTCAGTCACCATGTTGCTCTTTTTTTGCTCTTTATAGCTAATTTCCTCCTTCATGACAATTGCTTTTATATAACTCACCTATTTATATTCTATTAAGACTTAAAGTTATGTATAATTGAGGGCGTGCCAGTCTGAGTGACAGGTGGGTGAGTGTATCCTTGCCACAAACAAGTCTCGGCTCCACACGCACCCCATCTCTTTGCCCGTTTTTGGATTAAGCGACGTTAACCTGCATCATCGGTGCTACACATGGACGGATAAAAAGATCATGAGATAATGGGGCTCCTGGGTAAAAGCTTCTCTGCCCACACAGGAGCAAGGCACCCGAACTGACAGAGACAGAAAAAGACAACGAAGAACACGACTTTTTTGTGTGTCTTTTTTTTTATCATTTTGTGCATTTGTCTTGTCGATTTGTATCTCTTCGTGACAAACAGGCAGAGAGTCGCTGTGGTTCACTTCTTTTTACTCAGTTTTTAAATACAACACACCATGTGTTACCATGGTTAAGAAATGATTGTGTAAACTTCCTAATATCTACAGCCTTCATAATATCTACTGTCAAAACATCCTGCAGTTCATCTGCTTTGCTTTCACACAGGGAACAAACCACACAAGAGTCAACTTGGAGGAGGACCAAGACCCTCATCGTCAAGTGGTCTCGGTCTGGGTGTTTGGTTTAGCTTTCAGACAACAAACTGCATTAACTGGGCAAACACACAGTTTGTCTGGACGGGAAGAAGGTCAAAAATGGGAAGAGGAAGGAAAATGAGGTGATGTGAGGAAGTTAAAGTGTAAGAAAAGTCTTTAGTTTTAGATTTAATAATATGTCAAGAATTTCTGGTGGCAGGTCTGACTGACACTGTGGAGCAGTTTCAGCTCTTTAATTCAGTCAGTAACAGCCTCAGTTCACCTGCTCACCTCTGCTTTGTTAAACATGTGTTGAGATGCACTAACAAGCTCAGCAGGCTGACATGTTAAGAGACCAAGCGGAAGCCGCATCTTTCACACAAATCAAACATGCTCTCATTCTGCACCTGAGCTCTGTGTTCATGTGTTCATGTGCAGCCGTCTGTTTGAACTCAACACAGACCTCTGCAGCAGCGCGGTGTCACCCACCGACCCTGTCTCCCATTAGTTATTCTTGTATCACTAATGTACAACAGCAAATACGCGCTGTTCTGGTTTCATGGTCTCTCTAAACTAGTTCTATGTGTCCGACCATCAAAACATATTCATAGCAATAAAAAGCAATAAAAATTGCTGTATAATCAATGAAAACAGACATGTGTCGCCTAAACAATGCAGCAGTTTAAAGGTCCCTTATTTTACACTTTTGCTGTGTTTTATTTGAAGTGTTGATCCATAAGAAGATATATTTGTGGTTTTAAGAAACACAAACCATCTCAATGTAGTTTTACATCTCCTCTCTCAGGCTTCTCTCTGGAGCTCTAGCAACAGCAGGTCAGTGAGCCAATCAGAAGAGAGGATCTGAGCCTCTCCTCTAATTGGCTGACTGTTTTCTGAGTGATCTAATAAAAAATATAGCAGATTTCAGGTTGAGAAATCAAATCCTGCAAGGGTGGATTGTGGGTTCAGGTGGGCAGGGCATGGGACAGAGTGGCGCCTGCTTTGTTGTGACATCACAAAGTATAAAGTATAATCAAAGAAGACATGGAAATCTACCTTTATACAATATGGCACCTTTAAATAAAATTGGATGGTGCAACACAGCCAATAAACTACAATAAAAATACAAAAGTTGAAATTTAAATTTGCATGAATATATCTTATCCACATAAATAAATCTACAACTGTGGAGATTCTAATCTAAAATGTTGGTGTGACCAAGGCCTTAATTAATAAACAGTATTAATAAGAGAGCTGTTAAGTCAGAATATGTTGACACTGAACATACAATAAGTACTTAATTTTTTTTATCATGTTATGTTTCCTTGTGAAGCACAATATCCACTGATGTGCTCAGAACCACGTCGACCAGATCCCAATAAAGCTAATGTAGGACAAAGAGCATGTTTGTGTGGGACAATGTGGGAAATGCTAACAATGCTGAGCTGCACAGTGTGGTAAACGCTCGTTATTTCAGCTGCTGTTACCTTTTCTTATCACCTTTGGGTTACAATAGAAATACAACCATATATCAGCACATTTAAAAATAACTCTGGACCACCGGCTTCACCCAGTTATAGGTAGTTAACCAGGATTTGTTATAACTGCATTTCCTTTTTCTTTGTGGTACTCTCCCATCATTGTTCTGCTGAAAACTGCATAGCTTGTGATTTTGTGGTGGCTCACAACTCTCCCCGTTGGGTGTAGTGCGACGGTGACAGGTGAAGCAGCCTTCCCTGCTTCCTTCACAGCCGTTGGATAAAAGCCAGATTTTACAAAAGCGTCTGTCCTGCAGTGTTGACTTTTAAAAAACTAGAGCCAATAAAAATGCGGGACATCGTATGCAGGATGTGGGACAAGGGACAAAAACGCTGCGCAGTCCCGCTCCCACTCGGTTAAGGTTAAGGACAGTTTGTGGTCTTGCTTCTATATTGTTTAATATTGTAAAAGACACCAGTGACATGAAGATGATTTAACTAAAACCACCATCTTCCCCTCAGCTTAACCAACGTGTTTCTGTTGCCTACACCACACAGCACTCAGGATGTGGACCTTGGTCTCTCATGTCCAAATCATGATCTTTATACTCCCATGATCCACTGCGACCTCACACATACAAGCCATTCATTAGAATAAAACATTACCAGGACCAGGATCCATATTTGAAGAACCGCTGTAAGAAAGCAGCTGTGTGAGTGCTGTAAGTCATTCTTGACACTGTTACAGAAAAGAGTTGATTCAGCTTTATGCTAACATAAATCATACTGGTCCCTGTCATTAATACTTTGTCCACTACAATTGTAAATTAGCGAACCTTCATCCTTGCTTCTCCTCCTCACTCCATCACTCATTCATCTTCCATTAAAATGTGACACTGACTTTCAGACAATGACACACAGCAGGAAGTGTGTGTTTCAAAGTAAAAGACGAGTGAAGTCTTTGACACAGCGATGGCACTTGAACTGGTTTGATGTTCCATTTTTCCCAGTTACAGATTGATTTGTTCGTTCCCTCCTAACTTCCTTTTCTTTTCTTTCTTAACAAAACGGATATTTGTCACTTTATGGAAAAATTAACTGAAGCCTTGAAGCCAGTAGTACCTCATTTGAAACGTTTCCAAAAGAATTATCAACTTTTTTTCAAAATGGATGGATATCAATTCAGACGTGAACTCTTCTTTTTCCCGTTTTCCTCTTTGTCCCCTTCAAACTCTGCTCACAAAGATCTCGGATTCTTTAGCTTTCAGACTTTTTCAGACCATTAACTTTTAGAAATTTTACTTTGCAAGATACTTCCATGTTAAGTACTGCAAGTACATTTTGATACTCATATTTTGAAGTGACATTTTGTCATGAATCAACAGATCAGACGCCGGACTCGTCTGTAGCACTTAATCTAAGCAAATCTTAACATAAAAGGTGATAAAACGGGCATATATACTGTAGGTCCTTTTACAATATGGTTTAGGTTATTTTTGTTGGAAGACCTGTTATGCAAGTGTCTGATCAGGATCCCTCCCCCTACTTCCCCTTTGGAGGTTTTCTGACAGGTCCAACTGGAAGGAGACCTCAAGGTGGACCCAGAGCAGTGAGAAAACCTCCCAGGCCAGATGGATTAATCTCACCCGGCCCTGGGACACCTGAATGTCCCTCAGAACGAGCTGGAGAAAAGTAGTTTGGTTTGGATGTTTCCTTTTAGTCGACTGAACTTTCAGCTCCCAGAACACAGAAGCCAAAATGACTCTTTACTTTTAAAGCAGCTGGAAGTTTTTTTTGTGTTTTTTTAATCCCAATCAGCACAGTTAACATGTGAGACGATCGCCTAACTGCAGCACCTGGTGACTCTGCTGCTTTTATTTGCATCACTTAATGTGGAGGCTGACTGACAGGCCAGTCTCCCAAAAAGCTCTCCCGCTGTTCCCTTCCCTCTCTCCACATCTGCTCGTCCTGCCTCCATTAACTATGCTAATCTATGCACTAATACTTATCACCAGGAACAAGTCTGTGGCAGACGACAAGGTGAGGGGCCAGACACCGGCAAAAAAGGCAGACCGGCGCCAAACTGGAGTCAGGATGGGTTTAATTTGCCAAGAACAGCAGCTGCACAAAGAATATGACCTGGTTAACGGCTGCGACCGAGCCGACACACAAGGTGACAGACCGAAGGAAACACAGCCTCAATGTATTACACACAAGATGTGATGTGACAGCAGACTAAACACATCCAGGTTAGTGTTTCCACTTCTTCTGCAGCAGGAATTAAAACATTCATCTGGTGGAAAAACTGTTTTATTGGTTGTTCTTAAAGGTCCCATATTGTATAAAGGTAGATTTCCATGTGTTGTTTGATTATAAAGCAGGTCTAGGTTCTATATTAATACTGAAAGTATCAAAGCATTCAGTCCACAGAGAAATGCACACAGCCTGTATTCAGAAACTAAGCCTTAAAATAAGCCGTCAGGACTTCTGTAACTTTGTGATGACACAATAAAGCAGTCAACGCTCTCAGCCTTGCCCCAAGCCCCGCCCACCAGGACACACCATCCAACCTTGAAGGATTTGGTTTACCTGAAATCTGCTATATTTTTATTGGATCACTCAGAAAACAGTCAGCCAATCAGAAGAGAGGCTCAGAGCCTCTCTGGAGAGGGAGAGGAGATGTTAAACTACATTGAGATGGTTTTTGGTTCTTAAAACCACAAATATATCTTCTTATGGATCAACACTTCAAACAAAAACAGGAAAAGTGTAAAATATGGGACCTTAAATATTTGTACTGTGCCAGCTAAGAGTTCGACATAAGATTGAAGCCTAGAAAACACTTACAACAAATGGTGTTTGCCAGACTAGCAGGCAGCTTTACACCTACCCCTAACACATATATGCAAGTAGCAGGCATCAATATGCATCAATATACCTTAAGGCTTTGTGTCAGTTTTCAGTAAGCAGCAAAAAAAGAAACATGACTCCTGCCCAATAATAGTTGACTAAAAAATGTCCTTTTCAGCAAACTACTCAGGTCGATCACGTCTCTAAAAAGCAACACTGTCTTTATTTTTCCAAGCCATCCTTGTAAAAAAAAATAGAAAAAAAATCTCTTGCCTCTCAATGGTTGTTAATACAAATGAGAAAAAAAAAACTTGAACTCCTCTTGCCTTTCAGTGCTTCCGTAAACTAAGCGAAACAAATTCTATACAAAGTACATGAGTCAAGTTAATCTTATTCATACAGAATCACAAAATCACAAGTCACACATTAAAAGGTTTCACAGTCTGTGCAGGATAGAGTACGACATCCTCCATCCACAGACCTGACACTGCTAATGCAGTGGATATGTTTGGGTCAAGTCAAGTTATATAGACAGCATTTTATGTATATTTGATCCTTTGTTTTCATTTGACTTAAATATATACAGTATATATATAATATATATATATATATATATACATATTTGTTCTCATGTTTTTTATTTATAGTTATTTATTTTTATAGTTATTTTATTCAATTCCCAGTGAAGTTTACGGTTTCAGTGCACTGATGTCATTTTGGACAAAGAGGTTTATTGTTAAACTGTAATATCCTGTTTTCATGACATATCTTTTTCGCAAGTTTATATATATAAATATATATTGATATCAGCCGATACATTGATATCAGCCGATATATTGATATCGGAATATATTCACTTCCTAATATCAGTATCGGCATGGACCCCAAAAATCCAATATCAATCAGGCTCTAGTAATCATGTCATTAGGAGGGTTGGGTCCTCCCGTTCACTCACCCAGAGGCATGCCGATACCGTAGCCTTTGGTGTCCAGCAAGCCTCCGATCTGCGTGAGGTTGCAGTTGAGGCTGCGGTAGTACTCGTTCATGGTGCTCTCCATCAGGAAGGCGTACTTGGAGTTGAGGACGCGGGCGATGCCCTCTTCAGTGCTCTTCACGAACACGCTGGGCTGCTTGGAGTACATGTAGTTCCACATCCTCTGGTACGTCTGGTACCGAGAGTTCTGGAGGAGGAGGGAGAAGAATGAGACACGGGAAAATACAAAAATACAAAATCAATAACACACAGTGTCTGAAATGAAACAATATCAAGAGAGGAATAAGTTGAATAAAATCAATACAGATGAATTACAGTCTCACCATGAAGAAGGTCATGGTGGAGCCCCCGTGGATGGTGCCGTACTGGATGTTGGTTTGGTCGGCCAAGTCGTCCGGAGACTCGATGGGAACCTCCATCCTCTGAACGGTGAGAAACGCCGCCAAGTTGGCCGTGTAGGACGAGATGATGATGAGGGTGAAGGCCCACCTGAGAGGAGCCGAGAGGAAGAGCGGCGTTAACCTTTATTTACCCCGAGAAACTTGCACACACTCGCTCGTTTTTTTCCCCCCTCTCTCTCTTCATTAAGAGCTGTGAGCGGAAAAACAGGAGAGAGACAGATGGAGAGCTCTGCAGGAAACGTCAGGAGTTTTAGGTAAAAATCATCAACCTAAAGATGAACTCGGGCTGCAGAGACGAGCAGGATGTCTCCGCTGCAGAGGAAATGAGACGGAAGTGATGAGCAAGGGAATTAGGAAGAGAGAGGAGGGGAGGATGGAGGCAAACAGAGAGGAGGGAGGAGAGAGAGGTGAGGAGAGTAGTTACCCTCATTGTCACGGACGGAATCGAACATACACCACACGTTCAGATTCATGATCTGACTCAGGTCATGTGACTGGAGTGCACTACCCTCTCCTCTCCTTTGTCAGTAAGGCTACGACCTAATTTCTACTCTTTCCCTTTCAGTCAGTCAGTCAGTCAGTCAGTCAGTCAGTCAGTCAGTCAGTCAGTCAGTCATCAACATGCTGCAGTTTGTGCCACAGCCATCATGAGTTTTTATGGGGCTAAGTGCCCGGTGAGGCCGAGAGCTGTCAGAGAAAAGATGCTGATGGCCCCTCCAGTCCCTCCAGTATCACTCCACCATCTGTCCTACTGCAGCTACTGGGACTGAGGGAGGGAGGGAGGGAGAGAGGGGGAAGGAGAGAGAGGACAGGTATTTGGAGAGTAATGGTAATTTCCATCTCCACAGACAGGAGGAGGACGGAGGTAAATATTTGTTGTTTGTCTGTTTCTATCAGCACTGATGTAGAGGGGACGGGAGGAGAGGGGGAGGTTCAGGACAGCTGATGCGAGGAGGAGAGGGGAGGTTCAGGACAGAGGACATGAGGAGGAGAGGGGAGGTTCAGGAAAGAGCATGCGAGGAGGAGAGAGGAGGTTCAGGACAGAGGACATGAGGAGGAGAGGGGAGGTTCAGGACAGAGGACATGAGGAGGAGAGGGGAGGTTCAGGAAAGAGCATGCGAGGAGGAGAGAGGAGGTTCAGGACAGAGGACATGAGGAGGAGAGGGGAGGTTCAGGACACAGGACATGAGGAGGAGAGGGGAGGTTCAGGACAGAGGACATGAGGAGGAGAGGGGAGGTTCAGGACAGAGGACATGAGGAGGAGAGGGGAGGTTCAGGACAGAGGACATGAGGAGGAGAGGAGAGGTTCAGGACAGAGGACATGAGGAGGAGAGAGGAGGTTCAGGACAGAGGACATGAGGAGGAGGTTCAGCGGAAATAAACCGAGAAGAGAAAGCGACATCATCATTTTCACACGAGAGCCACTTCACCATCTGTTCACCTTCAGCTGATGCTCCTGAGGGAGGGAGGGAGGGGGGAGGAAACACTTGATTTTAACAATGAGGAAAGTGGCTGTGATGTGAGCATCATTCACTTCAACAATCTGTGTAACTGGAGGATTTAAAAATATATACATATTGAAGAAGAGGTCAGATCAGGGCCGTACCTTTCCTGGCTCACACATAATTCTCCCTTGAGAACTTGTGATTTCTTTATTCATCAAACGTTTTGGTTTGTACTGGCTCTTTCTGAGGCAGGCATGATACAGAGACTCACCTGCTGTGAGAGGCTAACGCTCTACTGTTCTCAAGAGACTGTCCTACAAAAAACGAGCCCATAGGTCGTCTGTGCTGCAGGTTATGACGACCCATAGTTACGTTTTGTTGTTAGGCGACATCTAGTGGTCAAAGTAATTATGACAGGAGCAAAAGAAGAATTGCGGTGACGTAGTGTAAAGAGAGATAACGTCCACGTCAGGAGGAGGCTGTGGTGGATGGATGGGTCAACCAAACAGAGCAATACGACACAGGAGAGCGGTGTTCGATTCCCATGTGAAAGTAGCAGCTTATGTTGTTTCTATTATCCATGACTGTCTGACAAAGTTAACACCGTTGTCATTATTGTAACCACGACAACAAAGGCTGTCTTCTGATTGTTGAGGAAGTAGTTATTTTAACCCAAATGACCTCAAAGATCTTTTCCTAAACCAACAGCGGGGTACCTACCTTTATCGCCATGGTTACTATAATAACGGTCATGGCTTGGTTAGGTTTAGGAAAAGATTTGGGTTAAAATAAGTACTTTCTCAATATTAGATGATCCTTGTTGTCATGGTTACAGTAATAACAACGTGGTTAACTTTTTTGAGGATAAGATAAAACAACAGAAACTACTACTAAGTAACTACAGGCCATAATAACCCGCTCTCTCTGTGACACCTGTAACAGACAGGCTCTGTTAGTTTTTCTTCCAAACTTTGTAGATGTGGCTCGTTCATACTCTGCTGCTGACCTTGCTTCACTACACCCACACTTAGTCTGCTTAATTGCATCTCGCTGATTAATTGCTGAGCTCAAGCAACGACCGACGCTCTGCAGGAGTCAGAAGCAGGTATATGAGCCTGGAGAGACAGAGGTACGACCACGTAAGATTACACTCTGTCTGCACTGGCGGAGGAGGGGAATCATCAGCCTCAGTCCTCCATCAGTGTCACACTGAATGTGTTCAGTTAAAGTATGGCTGTGTGGTTAGAGGGACATAAGAAGGTCCAGCAGTTAAAGTAAGGCCAGATATCTGAAATGAAAACCAGGGAAATTTCCAGTTTGGCGGTCAATGTATCATTAAAATATGTGCCAATGTTTTTACCTGAAATAAAAAGGGGGACACTCCTGGTTTCGTGTATTTTGACCATGGTAATTGTTGTACTACAATAAACTATGGTGAAGGACAACTGATAAAATGACGACTCTCTATCTTTGAAGCAGTTATGAAGTCCACCTGTCTGTCAATTCCTCAATATTGTATATTATATTCCTTTCAGTCGTAAGGGTCCACAGATCAAAAAAATCAAAAGCATTTTTCATAAAAGGTTGTGAATATTGTTGTGTGAAGTCCATTGTAGGCAGTCGTGCAAATTCTTCACTTCTTCCAACATAATAACAATTTTTTTCAAGTTACGGCTAGGCGGCTATGGGTATGTTTGTTTTTGTTCACCGGTGATGAACCCCTAACCAATGAATGAGCCAGCTAACCTTTCATCTGCCTGGAGACAACAAAAAAAAAAATCTGAGTGGATAGTTTGATGGTTTTAGCTTCACTTCTGAAGCTGCTATAGCTAGCAGCAAGACCCCTCTTTTGGCCAAAACAAGTACAAAGCTCGATGTCCTAGATGTCCTTTTTTAATTCACAGATAAAAATGGAGACATTTCCCTGGACAGGCCATCAAAAACGGGAACTGTCCCCGGAAAACGGGGACATCTGGTCACCCTAAGTTAAAGCAGACAAGATAAACTTCAAGTACGAACCAGACTCCGCTGACGCAGCGTGTGGACAGAGCCCGGGGCATGATCTCTGAGCCCTGCTGCATGAAGCCACCCACCGGGAACCACAGGCTGTTCCCCAATGTGTACTGGTTCTCCAGGATGTCCCGCCGCTCCCGCAGACACGGGTGAGGGTTGTACCATTCATAGGGGCTTAGCCTTTAGAGAGGGGGGAGTGAGAGCGAGAGAGAGAGAGACAGACAGACAGACAGACAGACAGAGAGAGAGAGATAGAGAGAGAGAGAGAGAGAGAGAGAGAGAGAGAGAGAGGGTGAGAAACAAACATATTAGAAAAGTCAGCGGAGTCCTGTCATAGAGAACAGAGACCAGACTCGGACCACCTCCTGACACATTACGTTCTTTATTCTCTCCATTTTGACACGGAGGGTTTGGCCTGTTCCACTGTGACATTAAATAAAACATCTTCTCATAACCTGCACACAAGTTCACAGTGAGCTCCTCCATCCAACAATCATTCTGATTAAAATTCTATTCTTTTATACTCCAAATAACATTGAAAAACATGTGACCAACACAACTGCATTTTCATTTTCAACCTGCAACGCTTTTAGAAAGTGCTTTCACTCATTGTGAGTACATCTATTCACACCTGCCTCACACAGAGTGAAAGAGTAAGAGCAGTAAACAGGAAGAAATTCATTCAGACGTTTTACATAAAAGGAAACAACATAATGACTGTGTTTACAGTGTTAAACAGTTTGACTGAGTTATTTTGATGTTACTGTGAGTGACAAAATTACAGGCAGAGAGGGCGGAGAGTGGCAGAGAGAGCTTCACTTACTGAGACTGAAAGACAAGTGTGACAAGGCGTTTGTGTTATTTTGTCTTGTAACAAAGACAAAGATAAACACTACTACTTTTACTGAAGCCATGACCCAATATTACAACCAAAAATTCAGATGTTCTGGTACTTATACACTACAGTCAGCAAAAACACACACACACACACACACACACACACACACACACACTGAGGTAGTTACCTGGCGGCAAGGAAGAGGACGCAGCTGACGGCGAGGTAAGCCAACAGCATGAAGAGCCAGACAGCTGGAGAGAAGGGATCCAGGAAGGAGAAGTAACCTGGTTTACGACCCTGAGAGATAGACAGACAGACAGACAGACAGACAGGCACGCACGCACGCACGCACGCACGCACGCACGCACGCACGCACGCACACACACACACACACACAGTTATTAAAGTTGAGTGAAACGAGTTAATGTGTCTACCATTCTGTTGTTTACATGTGAGAATCAATGTACAATGCACTGAGTGACGTGCATGAAAACACACCTGGTGGTGTACTGAACCATGACAACAAGGCTCATTGTGTGTTGATGCATCAGTATATGTCACTTTTTTAATTCCCAAAATCAACATGGAAAAGCAGCAGTTTTATCACATCATTCACTCAGCAGATCCGCATCACAGCTACTGTATCTTGACTGTTTCTTCTGGCTTTGACTGCAAAACATTATTGATTTTGAATGATTCTGCAGGATTGGGTGTTATGATAATATACAAATGACCGGAGCCCCTCTCCTCTGTGATAAACAGTTTCAGTTTGTGTGCCGCATCCTTTGGAGGACATGATCTATGTAGGTGTGGCCTTTTGTAGCTGTTGTAGACCATGAAGGCCTAACTGAAATGAGACGGTCTGGCCTATAGAGGATTTTTGCTTTGCAGCACCAGCTGTGCCTGCCCTTAACATTGCATCACAAGGCAATGCATCCTGGTGCCTAGCAACCCTGACAACACTCAATTTTTTTTAACAAAAACTTGAAGCTTTAAGGACCTTGGTTTCAACAGTAACTGTTGAATCGAACTGACACCCAACCCTTAATGTAAAAGTGTAATCCTCAGGCTCTCTGTCGGTGTCGTTTGCTGCCATATTATTTTCATTTCTGGCACGCAATGAATCTTGGGATAGGTTGGACCACGAAGGATCCACCTGTTGGAGCCTTTTTTACTCCGGAAAAGGAGGCCACATTTGAAAGAGCCTTCAAAATGGGACAGGCTAGCCTAGCTAGCATCACTGATGACAGTGATGTCACAGTGTACTGACACACCCTGGAGTACACTTCTACATCGCTGTAGCAAGGTGAGAATGTTTTTCAGCAGGTGTTACGTTACTCTGTAAAATCTCTGGGTTTATTAGGGCGTTGGGGCACATGTTAATCAATGAGCAGGAGCACTTTTCTTGTTATATTTAATTTTTTTATAATTGTTACATCATTGTCACAACACACCAATATTTGTCTAAATTAACTGAAAGCAGGCATTGCTGTAGGTTAGATATACTGTATATGTATATAGGAACACTTATACACCTGCTTAGTCATGCAGTTATCCAATCAGCCAATCATGTGGCAGCAGCTTAATGCACAAAACCCTGCAGATACTTTGACTGTCGAAGCCTGGTCTGATGAATATGGATTTCTGCTGAGCCAGCAGACGGTAGGGCGGGGTAGGTGGAGGATTTTACCCATGATGCCTATTCTGCACATTGTTATGTGTATTTGCTGATTGAGCCGGTTCTGAACTTTAAATTCAAGTGGAAAAACATGAAGTTTAACATCAGTGGAAGTTCTTATATCTGCAGCTGGCAGCGGTGAATTGTGATAATGACCATCTGCCAGTCACAGCGGCGCGCAGAGAACTGTCAACGTCTCAGGCTTAGAAACACAATCCTGTCTTTCAGATTGACAGCCATGTATTTTGGAAAATTACAGTGTTGGAATTGGATCGTTTCCCTTTTTTTTCCCTTTCCTCAGCTTGTCACATTTTCTCAGCACGTAAACCTGCAATTGGAATAAAACAACAAAAACAAGATAAACCAGTAAACTGCAGTTACAAGCTTTTCGAGTGTTAATGACTGTAAGCTGATGTTCCCCCGTGAGTGGCTTCCCATCGACCCATTTCATCACCTCCCCTCCCTGCTGTTTATGATGCCTCGTTCTCCCCCCGTCGTCCCCTGGAAAAAAGGATTTGGCAGCAAAGAGAGCTGAGGAACTCCCAGATTGGACCCAATTAAAGCAGATGACTGGAGCTGTAATGGAGGCAATCAACTCTGTTTCTGTTTTTTTTTCCATTCTGGCTCATTTAAAAGAACAACATGTGAGGTTTGGCAAAGGGCTGAGACGATTATCTGATGCAAGGTTGCTTTGTACCTCTGAATCACACTTAGATGTCCCGTGTAGAAAGCTGGATCACAGGTTGAAGTAGAAAATGGCAGGTGACAGCAGGTGCATCTCATCGACTACCATCAGTCTCAGGGTTGACTTTATAAAGTTTTTTTTATGTGTTAGAGTTTTTTGTTTTTCCTTCCAACCATGCAGCCTCCGGTCACTTCCAAATGGTCTTTAAGGAATAGTTCAACACACTTATTCACATTCTTCACAGTGAGCTGAGAGGATCAATGTGAGTCTCATAGAGCCGGAGTCAGGATATGGTTAGCTTAGCTTCAGTCAATGGAAGCAGATAGGGGGAAACAGCTAGCCTGGCTCTGTCCGTGACTTTCAAAAATACTCCTATGAACACGCTGAAATATCACAAATTGACACTGACTCTGGGCAGACATTGAAACAATGAGATACAAGCGGCTGAAATGAGTTTCCGCAGGGTGTCTGGGTCCAGCCTTAAAGAAAGGGTAAGTAGCTTGACCCACCCCAGATAAGCAGAACACAATGGATGTATGGATGGACTAGATGGACTGACAAACATATTGTTGGTTTGAGTCTGCACATGAGATTTGGTGACAATAAGAAAAATAGAGAAGAGCATCAGTTTTATATTTTCAACTTAACCACAAGTCAATAGACAAAAAACGTACTATATGTCTGATTCATTTGCACTGCTCTTTTCAAACTGTACAGAAAAGAAGAAAAGCAACGTTACAAAGTCTAAAGACAGCGGTGGATTTCCTTTAACTTGACAGCAGAAGGCAATCTCTTCACAAACACTGAACCACCTGCTACGTCTGTTTGCTCTGTTTTGGATGTTTCTTCCTCCGCAGGCGGTGAAGATTCTCCATCCACGTTACTTTTGTATGTGACATTTTGTTATTCATACTGATAAATAACACATGTAGGTCAGGCTGCCATAATCCTCAGAGCTTGTTCTGACCTGATGCCGTATCAGAGGTGAGTTTACTGCATCAGTACACCTCGGCTGTGTAGCCTATCAGATAAGCTGTCAATCACCAAAACTCACAACACTCTCTTTGAAGAACTTTCCCTGTAGTTGTCTGAGCTTTAAAATTCATTCTCAGTTCTGGATCCTGAAGTCAACTGAGATGAAAGAAAGAGGAAACACGCTGTCTGCAGTTGTTAATTTGTGAGTGTGTGCCACAGCATCACACATGAACAATAACAAAGCAAATTCCACTAGCATTTTTATCAATCAATTACTTAAATTAGCCTTTGATTATATTCTGGCCCGCCATCTAATGGATAAGAAAAAAATGGGTCAGAAGCCAAACTGGTCTACGCCCAAGATTAATTAAAGGATTTAGCACAACCCTTTTGACAGTGTTTTCCGCTGTTAAAATAGCAAAAGTGGATTTGGACCCTGAATGCTCTTGCTCCATGTGCTTAGGTTGAGCACAAAATGTGCGCTGTGAAGACGGACCGTTAACACACTATGAAAACAGAAGTGAATGAAGACAAACATGGGCTGATATAAAGAAAATGACGAATTTCATCTACTTTGAAAAAGTTCACAAGCTGAAGATATGAGGTTTTTATGCGACTGCAGTGATACGCCAATAAAGGCCAAAACTTAAAGATCTAGCAGCTGAATTAAAGACACATCATGCTGATAGAAATATGCATTAATACATGACAATCCCTTCAATAAAATACTAAACACTGAGGACAAAACCATCAATCAATAACTGTAAAACATGAATGACTCTTTTTGTCTGTTTTAATCTGTCAGTCTAATTTTCCTCCGCAAGTAACATAATGTTTAGCTTCTTAAAAATCTCCACTTCCAATCTTCCAAACAATGACACTGTCATTGTTGAGGGAGCAACAATGACAGCGCTGTCACAGCTGTCACAGCTGGTATCTCCACAGTGATGATGTCAGAGCTCCTCGTACTTCGCTGTAATAAATTGTTGTGCTGCAGATGCAGTGAATAGCAAAGTGATAATACATTGAGCACTAATGAATTGGGAGCAGCAGCAGACATAAATTTACACCGTTCAGCACCGGGGGGCAAGAACACTGATAAACACGATGGCACTTCACTAATGTGTGTACATAAGTCAACAGCTTGAGCAATTAAATAGATTACCATCTTTAAGTCTGCTCGCAAGCTATTTAGATACATGCTGCGTGTGTGTGTGTGTGTGTGTGTGTGTGTGTTTTATAATGTGCATAAAGCTCTTTACACTTCCATACACAACCCTATTGTTTATTTAGTTGCTTTGGGAGTTACAGAGTAGTTATGAGATTTAATGTGTTAGTTTGTGTGATGCATTCAGGAGCTTGTACACACTCAGATATTAATGTACTGCTCCTGCTGAGAGAGGGGTGGGGGGTGGGGTCTGCATGTTCTCCTCCTGCCTGCGTGGGTTTCCTTCGGCTTCCTCCTACAGTCCAAACACATGCAGGTGAACTGGCAATTCATAGGTGTGAATGTGAGTGTGAATGGTTGTTCGTCTCTGTGATAGACTGGCGACCTGTCCAGGTTACCCCCCCCCCCCAGATCCCTAAAAGGATAATGAATGAACGATGAGTGAATGAATCATGCTGAGAGTTGTCATGGGACTGCGCCAAGAGTTTGAAGGGCCCCGAAGGCCCCTGGTTGTCCATATGGCAATTACATTAATTTGTGTTTTGTAATATACACGACTGAAAGCAACGCTGTCTCTGGAAATTATGCTTCTGAGCTGCAGCAGCAAATATGTTGTGTAGGTAATGTAATCACTTGCTGGATTATGTTCAGAGGAAACAGTTTTTTTTTTTACTTTAACTAATGAAGCTTATTTTATTAACGGCAGCGAGAGTCGCCAGGAGGCGGGTGGCGTGGATGGAGGACTGCAGGTTCACATCCAGAGTCCTATCTGTGGTTTAGAAAACTGTGGCTCAGGAGATAAAGCAGGTCGTCCACTAACCAGACGGTTGGTGGTCCACATGTTGAATTGTAAAACGCTTTGAGTGGTTGATAAGATCAGAAAAGCTCTTTATAAGTGCAGTTCATTTACCTTTTAACAGCTCTTTGGTTCAGTTCAGTGAAAGATGGACCTTTCTGAACCAGGATCTGTCTATGACCTGAAACAAGAGCTGAGAGAGTCTGAACAGAGCCAGAAAACAGCTCAATAAATGCCACTACAAGTGGAGATTGTTCTGGGACATCAGATATCTTGGTGGAAACGTTTGAGCATCTGTGAAACATCTGTGAACATTTTACTTTACTGCAACTTGTCAAACGTGTAAATTCACAACGTTTCGTCATCGTGTTAACAGAAAACAATCTGGTCACAAAGTTACGTTTCCTACAAAACATCTTTGCTGCTGCAGTTTAGCTGTTTGCAAGCGTAATCTCTAGGAGATTGCGTGCATGTCTGTGTGTGTGTGTGTGTGTGTGTGTGTGTGTGTGTGTGTACACCATCATCAGCATTGGCCTGTTAGCCAGTCTATCTACTGTGCATAACGGTCGCTGGTGCTGCACTTGCAATTGCAGCAGCCTGGTGTGTAGCGGAGTGAATTTATGACGCCTCGGTTCAGACTGGATCAGGAGGCCGAAGTCCTGGTCCAGATCTCTGATCTGATCTCTGTACTGCTTGTCGGCCTGGCGGCGTGAGAGCATAAACTGCCGCCGCAGGGAGTAAAAAAAAAAAAACATGCTCTCTGTCGACTTAATCTTCAAATAAACACTGGAGAAAATGAAGGTGGGGCGACGCTGCCTCGGCTGGACACGCACCGAGCAGCTGACTGAGCGCCGAGTCAATACACCCAGGTTCTGACAGCGGACCGGATCAAACATGGAGGACAGATGGTAGAGGTGAATACTGATGAGCTGCAGATGTACAGTGTCTGCATCTCATCATCAGTGTCCCCTCAGCGGACACACATCATTATGTCTTAATGATAACAACAAATAAATGAACGTTCCATTGAGAGTTACTGTTGTGGGAAAGACTCAGGTTCAACCCACCCATGAAAAAGGGGGCACCTCCAGTCCTCTTCAAAGACTTGGAGGTGTCATGTGGGAAACAGTTACAATAACAATATAGTAAAAAATCAATAATCTATTTAAAATATTACTAATACTGGGTTATCACTACAATAATAATACTAATAATTTAGTTTGTATCTCCAGGTGTCCTGTATGCAGATTTACAGATGTAGCTTTTATAACACAGGTCTACAGGGAACTGCTTTCTGGGCCACAGGGGATTTTTATTTTTGTTGGCCTCGGGACACACTGACAGCATGACTGACTTTGCCACAACATATGCTGCTCTATTAATACAGCCCATGGGGGCAATGTTCCTTTGAACCAATCAACCATTTCCTAGTCAACCAAAGCGCCATTTATTTACATGTAATAATCAGAGCGTTCACGAAAATCATTCAGAATCACAAAGAAGGCCAAGAAAACAAACTAAGCCTGGCTCAGACTGCAGAAGTTGAAATCAGGTTTCATCACGCTCAGAAGGAGATGTTCTTCTGTCTCAAACATGCTCATACTACAACATATGAAAATAATACTACATCATACACCACAGGATGTTGTTAAGATTATCGTGCCATGTGATCTCATGGGGACTGTGGTGCAAAAAATTCAGGAAAATTTTGCAGTGAAGAAAAAAACCCCCAAAAAAACCAAAAGCAGAAGCATAAATAAGTCGGGATGAGCGAATGGTTGGAGAGATGTGGTCACACAGGTTGTTTATTCTTCAGTGTCAGTTTTAATATCTGTCAACTGAAGCATGCTAGCTAACGTTAGCCTCAAGTGCTAGGCTGTTTATGGTTGCTTGGCAACACATTGTACGCTGTTGAGGAAACTGTTCGTAACCACAGTCTTAATCATCCTGATTTGAAATCCTAAATACATGTTTGATGTTATTTGGGGCAGCACCGGTGAGTCTGTGATCAGTCTCAGGAAGTTTAAGATGGGATCTGTGAAGTGAATCACATGACCGGATAATATGGGCCCAACATCAGTCCCGACCAAGTCCAGGACCAGATTTCTCCTCCCGATTGTGGGACGGGTGTATCTGGGTTAAATTGGACCATAACTCCTGTAGCCTGAGCCCGGTCTGAGTGACGTGTTCTGTCTCTCTCCTCTGCTCGACTCTCACAGAGCAGCACCAACACAACAAACAGCGCTGTCCATGGTCCTGAAACTACAGCTGAGCAACAGTCATCATCAGATTTAAAAAATGCATCTAAAGCAGGCAAACCAGCGATTTAAGAGTAACTCTGATGGGAAATATGGTTAGGGTATTTTGATAGTGACAAAGAAGGTGCTGGATCCACTCTGGGAGGTTGTGGATCCTGTTCCAGATGTGTGAAACATAAACGTGCTCTGACACTTTGGTATTAATCCTGGCCTGTAAATCTGGTCATTTCTGTGGTCTCAGGACCAGGTCTGGTTCTAGTCCTGAACGACACCGCAGTCACTGAATGCGGCTGAAAAACATGAATAAACAATGAAAAACTTTCCGAGCAGTCGACGCAGTGAAGAATCAAAGATAAAAAAAAAGCTTCATGTGATCACGGCAAGGACGTTGGTGAATCCAGTATCTGCCGTCCACAGGTGCTTTCGTACTGTATGAAAACTTCCTCCTTCGGTTCAATAAATCCCTGCAGCACCTGAAGGCAGCGGGACACACATGTTTTTAAATCTGCAGCCTCAGATTTGAAAAGTCCCTCGAGATTTTTTTTCCCTGCTTTCATGTGAAGGACCCGCAGAGATTAAGAGATTCAGAGAGATACAGCAGCTTCTTGCAGCATTATTGTTTGTTATTGCATCATATTCTCAGGTATTCATTCTTCATATTTGTCCATCACCTCTATGTTTTTCCTACACATCATACTGAAGAGTCATCCAGACTATATTTAAACGTATCTAAGCAACCATACTGAAAATTCCTTAAAGGTACATTTCAACACATTTTCCTCTGGACGCAGGAACTGGTTGGGGAAACTCATGAAGGACTTGCTGAGGCATGAAGTCGAGTTTCACATTCCAGTCAGGGAGGCGGTCACCAGTCCTCCCTCAGGAGGCTAAAGAAAACCTCATTTTTTTCAAACAGGCAGCTCTGGCCCCCCCCCCCGAACTGAATCCATATCCCTCTCGTCTGCAAAAGGGACGAACAGCCCATGCCGTGAGGTGCTGTGTCCCCAGCTCTGCTTTTGTATCAGCTCCCCCGGTCTCGGGCACTCCAGCCCCACCCCCGACCCCAACCCCCCGTTCCCTGCGTGATCTCTCTGGTCGCAGGAATATTTGCTGTTGCTTTCTCCTGAACTCGCAGTTTGACTGAGTGACCCGAGCAGCCGGGTAGCCTCCAGCAGAGGAGCTCCTGCTGAGGGGGCGGCTGCTGTTGTGACTGAAGCAGTTTCTCTCTGAATCCATGGACTCGTCAGACAGAGAGAGAGAGAGAGAGAGAGAAAGAGAGACGGGAAATGTCAACAGGTGCAAACGGCCTTTTGTTCATTTTGTTTGTGTCGGCTCTGCAGGCTGGGCCGAGGCATAAATGCATCTTTTAACAGCATCTTAAAACTCTTATTTGGAAGAAAGCAAACTGACTTCCAGCTGCGTCCTCTCCGTTTATCAGCTGTGCATCAGATAAATTCTGTTTTTAAAGGGTCAGTTCACACAATTCACAACAGACAGGCAGCGAGGCTGAATGTGCTGCACCATTTCTCACTCTCATGATACAGTCATAGCAGGGATGTGCCTTTTCACTTGGTTAAAGGATGAGTGTGGTGTTAATCTTTTTTTTTTCTTGTCCACAAACCCCACGAAAACACCACAACTTATTCTGACTGTTTCCTACTAACAAGTATTGTCTCTGATGTATCGTCTTCCTCTGGGCCACAGAGTTCCACTGTTTCCAGAAACTATTAAAACACATCAGCGAGTCTCACTATAAAACATGTTCCTTCATCACCATCAACACACACACACATACACTGTAGTTTATTCTGACTCAATCCCATACACACCGTCCTGCTGCCACAAATACTAGAGCACCAAATGTGGATTAATCCGCCACTGAAAATAGTCCCAGAACAAATGCACTATTTCCTCCTGTTTAATAAAAGCGGCAGTTTCTTTTTTCAATGAAAGTATAAATATATGAGGTGTTTTAAATACTTAAATCTTCAGTAGGAACCAATGGGCTCAGAGCTGAGAGCTAAAGACAGAGGAGAGTGTTTAGAGATGAACTCACACACTGTGGATTTGGGTCTTTTTATGGGACTTCAATATAGTAAAAATATAGTATTACATAAGCTTTATCCTTTAAATGACTCATCATTACACTAAAATTGGGGGATTCAAAAAATAAAAAAACTAAGATGGTGCACCAAAACCTGGGACATGGTTCAAGATCCCAACGCTCCGGATCTTACACCCGATAGAGCCGGTAACTGAGCTTTTTAAATGCAACACTCCCTCTTTGTAACGCAGGCATTCTGTCTAAATGTGTAAAACAAGTAAGAATAAATTAAGTCAAGATTATGTACTACACTGATGAGTGAAATCAGTTCCTGTTAAAGAGTTTAAAAAGATGTTGTAAAAGTGAGTTTACCAGATGAACTCGGTAGAGAATGCTGATGCCCAGAGTCATGAAGGGTTTGGAGAAATCGATCACCTTCTCCCTCTCTGAGGTGATGGTGAAGCCGGCCACTGCCAGGTCTGCTTTCTACAGAGAGAGAGAAACAGAGAGAGACCGAGAGAGAGAGAGAGAGTAAATGTTTTTATTTTTAGCCACAAATGTCACGTTACTACGACCTTAGAGGTGAAAGGAAGAGGGACAGATCTAGAATTGAACTGTTTTGATCTGATGATGATGAGGAAAAGAAAAAATAGGTGGGGAGTGGGAGTGAAAGAGGAAGAAAAGGAGAAGACGAGGGATTAGGAGTAAACAAGTTCAAATGAGAAAGACAGAATACAGACAGGAGGAGGGAGCGTGAGAAAACAAGATGAATCTGAGACGAAGGACAGGCAGTAAAAAAAAAAAAAAAATCAACATCAAAGATGAGAAAAAAGGAGGTGTGGAGGAGGAGGTTAGCGGAGGTCTGAGAGGAGAAAAGCAGCGGAGGAGGACAGAAGAAAGAAGGGAGGTCAAGTGGGGTCGGACGTTGAGGACATGAAAGAGGAGCTGATGCACAAGGTGGAGAGAACAAAAGCAGAAGCTGAAATATTAATCAGGCATATCTGAGATGGGTGTGTGTGGTCTGACCGTGAGCTGATATCCAGGATCAACTGATTAAACAGCACAGATGTGAATAAAGAGAGCAAACAGAGATCACAAAGGGAGAGAGCTTCACTCCTCTCTCTGTCTAATGGCTCCTCATTTAGACTGTAATGAGCCCAACAACCTCCAGTGAATTATACTCATGTTCTGCCGTGTTGCATTAACAGAAAAAAAAAAACATTTTAGGGGAAACATAATGTTTGTCTGTGATGATGCTGAAGCCTCAAATCCCAACATTTTTCCTCCCAGCTCAGGGACGAGGCTGTGAAACTGGTGTTGAGATTCAGTGAGCGATGAAATCATTGAGACGTCATACTGGATATATCTATAAGAAACACTCTGTTTTACATTAAACATCAACCCCCCTGGGGGATGTTGCTCTGGAGTATTTGACGCCTGCTCCCAGGAGGGTTCAAATGTGACTCAGCTCTAAAATGTCTCCACAGAAACTTTTCAGACACACTCCACTTCTTCCTCATCCTCCATCTCTTCGATCCAATCAGTCCTCCAACCTGAACAACCTTTGTTTTTTTTCAACCCTCTGATATAACCCATAGGAATATCTCTTCAAATAGCACCTTGGTTGGCATGGTTACAATAATAAACACGCCGACTGTACCAAGAGTGGCGTGCCTACCTTCGTCGCCATGGTTACAATAATAACCGTCATGGCTTGGTTTGGGTTGATTTGGGTTAAAATATGTACTTCCTCAACATAAGATGATCTTTGTTGTCATGGTTACAACAATAACAACATGGTTAACTTTGTGGAACAGTCATGGATTATAGAAACAAAATAAACTGCTATTTTCACATGGGAATCTGTCATATTCCTGTGTTTTGTCTTAATACTACATCACTGCAATTTTCCCTTTTGCTCCTGTCATAAATACTACGGCCACTAGATGTCACCTAACAACAAAACGTAACTACGGGTCATAATAAGCCTTTTTTGTTTTACAGGACAGTCTCGTACGATCAGTACATTCACAACATTCATTGTTTCTCTTAAATGTGGCTAAAATACACAGATACTCAACTATAGCTAGCTTACTTAGCTCTAAGTGCAGTGTGATACAAGGGCTGTAAGTAAAGATGGGCGTAGTCTCCATGACATTACCCACAGGTTTCTGAAGAGTGGTTTTCAAGCTCAGAGAGAGCTGCACCACAGTCGCAATCTTGGCAGTGTCTGACTCCGACCAACTCCCAGATAATCCAAAAATGAGCAAAGAGGTGGGGCATGGGTGGAGCCCACACTTTCTGTAAACATGCAGCCGTTGAGACTCTAATTAACTCTGGTTAAAAGGTCAGCATTGCGATACTTGCACAAATTATAAAACCTCTTGATAAACAAGTCTTTCACAAAGTTTAAAAATAGGCGCATTTTTCCTGAAATGTGGGCTTTTCGTTTGGACATGCATCTCTACTCTCTACTCCAGCCCTGCAAACTGTTGTCTAGGCCCAATCCCAATGTCCATCCTCATGGAGTCACAGACTTGAGGCATGTTCCAAGTCCAAGGGAGTCCATGAGGGCTTAGGGGTGTCCCACTGTCGAACCATCAAGTGCATGAGGGCTCTCTATCACACAATTTGAGGCTTTTATGCACACTTTCCGGAAGTTTTGATTTCTGTAGACTCTACCCAAGGAAATAACCAAAAGTTCAGAGTGTTGGGATGTTAAACACAGCGTTACCATACCATGGTTACCAGGGGACGCACGGAAGCATAAAGAACTGGTAAATAACAGACATAAAAAGGAAAAAAGAATATGATAGAAGAATACCTCAAAGCCACGCCTTTGTCCTGGACCATCACCAGGACAGACAACAATAACCATTTCTGTTGAGTTTTTGCTGCAGCGTTAGTAGAGACGATGATTACTGTCTGTTCTGACTCCCACTGTGGTGCGTTGAACTGACTGTGTGACTCTGATTAAACAGCCATCTTTTATTATAAGGCTGAACTCCTGATTTTCCAGCTACAGAGGCCACAATTAAAGGCAGCACCTTTGTTCCAAATGCTTGAACCTTTTTTTGCAGAGATTCTGGAGCTTTTAATGAAATATTGATTTTTATTGTGCAGAAGTCATTGTGGAGGGCACGGCCGCTGCTGAATGCATTACAAGTTAGCAGTGAATTGTTACTGTGCAGCTCCCGGGGGACAGATAAAAGCTTTTGTTTCTGGTGGAGCTCTATGGGTAAATCTCAGAGCTCATGCTGCTCACATTTCAAGCTGAGACGCACTTTAATTTAGTCCACACCTTCCTGGTTCTGACAGGGACTTCTTCTAATTGTTTCCCCTTGAATAACACATTCAATGATGCGACAGTGACTACGTTTTCACCTCTTGCTGTAGAGCTGAACGGACAGGAGGTGAGGACTACCCTCCTCCTCTCCTGGTCTACCTTCTAACCACAGGACTTCAATTCCCTGTCAAAGAGATCCCTGCACTATGCTCTTGCATCTAAGAGTTTACTGAATCAGTACGTGACTTTTTTAAGAACTCCAGCTCTGAGGGTCTGCACAGACTGAAACATTAGTTTGAAGTATTGCTTTAATATAAGTTTGAATGCAAAAGCAATAAAGAACAACAAAGGACTGGACAGATACATTTTTTTTTTTTTTTAGGGCCGCCATGGGTAGGTCGATGAGTAGCAGAGTGACATCAACCTACCCACGGTCACCTGAATCAAATCCGAGTCACTACTGCTCACGTTCACTGACTTCTGGGGTCTGCACCCATCTACTTGAACTCAATCATACAGCCTTTTGCTTCTTGGATACTACGTTCCTCTAAAAGAACGTCATCTATTGTTGCCATCACTGCACACGAGACAGTCTCAGTCCAGTCTATTCTGCTCTGTGGTTCCCCGATGGTTGAACAAGCTACTGAAAGCTATCAGAGCAGGGGCGTCCCTCTCTATCTTCAACCATCTCTTGAAGACTCCTCTTTTCAGAGAGCACCTCGCCTCTTAACACTTCTAACACCCTAACATTACTAACTAGCACTTACTACGCACTTTCAGTTCACTTCTTCACCTGATCTACTTAAACTTATTGACAGATGTAGTACTTAGTACTTACGCCAAAGTTTCCTACTGCATTGAAGCTTTACTCACTCACTTATCAGTTGTAAATATAAAAACATGTTGCTTGATTTGCACCACAAATCCACGATCATCCTCATTATTTGGGGTTAATTTAAATGATGGAATAAAAACAAAGTTAAAGGTTCCGATTTTGAACGGTCACGTCAAGCTTCAGAGTTCTCTTTAGAACCAAATTCTCACAACACTGCGACTGAGCTTTGTTGTGTATTTTAGTGAATATATTGTCATAATGCAGATCAAAATGTCGCCTTGATTTCCCCTGAACGCACACAGAGGATCCCGGACGCGTTTTCATTGTCCGTGCAGCAGCTGCACAAATAAAACACTCGCATGGCCATTTACACGTGTTACAGTTTAAATGAAAGAAAACAGCGTCACGGTGCACTTTGCGAACGCATCCTTCCAGCAGCTGCACGTGAACGATGAAGACTCTCGTCTGAGTGTGGGTTTAACCTTGCTGCGTAAACACGGCAGAGCGGAATTAAAGTTGAAAGATAATCTCATTAAGGTTAAAGTCAACAGAGAGACGCAGAGTGGATCCATAGTGGAGCGTTTATCTGGACCCCAGACACCTCTCTGCTCCTTAATTAACACTTAATTGATTAACGAGTAGACACTTGTTAAACGAATTTCACCCACTTTCATCAGACTCCTGGGCCTCGTAGTGCGAAAAAAAACAAAAAAAAACCTGTGTGTGTGTTTGAAAGCATACAGTTGTTTTAAGAGCTTCTACCTCTGAAATTTTCCAGTGAAAGAAAAGGTGAGGGACGAGAGAGGTTTACAGAGAGATGGAGAGAGAGAAGGAGAGCATTTGCGAGTTTTAACACATTTATGTAAAATGCAGTCTGTAGATACAGATGAAAGTGTGTGAATACCTGCTGTGTGTGTGCATGTGCATGTGCGTGTGTGTTCGTGCTGTGGGATCCCGCAGTGTAATTGAAACAGCTCTGTATAATTAGTAAGAAAAAAGACAGTTGATTAGCCTCTTAATTGTCTGCTTGTGTTCCCCATTTTCTCTTCCTCACACACACACACACACGTACACACACATACACACACACACACGCAATCATCAGCCACCATCACCATTACCATCACCATTATGTGATGCTGTTTGTGTGTGTGTGTTATTAGCAGGATTAGACAGGAGCCACCAACGTGACAAACAGCAGTGCAGTTATGTAGAACAGCTTCACACACGTTGGTCCTTCTACACCTGTGAGGACTAAACCTTATATCCAGGACCAGAACCAGGGCTGAGCCTTCAAACGGACCTGAGAAGACGTGAGGACCATACAACACGAGTTCACAACATGCCTGGTTTAGTTTGTTTGTTTACTGCATGTTAGTGTTGACAACAAAACAATTTCACCAAACATAAAAACTATTATTGTCAATTAGGATCTTTTCTATAAAATCAGTAAAAACAACCGCCCCAAAAGTACCATAGAAGAACCAAAGACGAGAGGAGGCTCTGAGCCTCTCTTCTGATTGGCTGACTGTTTTCTGAGTGATTAAATAAAAATAGTAGATTTCAGGTAAACACTCAGAGAAACCAAATCCTGCAAGGTTGGCTGGTGGGTCCAGGTGGGCGGGGTTTGGGGCATGGCTGAGAGAAGTGACTGTTTTTTTGTGACATCACGAAGTCCTGACGGCTGGTTTTAAGGCTCAGTTTCTGAATACAGGCTGTGTGCATTTCTCTGTGGACTGAGTGCTTTGATACTTTCACAGTGTTAATATAGAACCTAGACCTGCCTTACAATTTAAAAAAGACATCTCACTTTATAAAATATGGGACCTTTAACTGACTGATCAGGGAAAATTCCTGTACTCACAGGGTGACCTGCGAACGCAGGATCTGAATTGAACCAAACAGTTTAGGTGTGAAATTACCCTTAAATACAAAAAAGTTCCTCAGATTGATCATTGATCTTTAACATCATGTGATCCCATCAGGGAGGCGCAACAGACAGCTGCAAATCACCAAAACAGTGTCATTTGTTCCAAATGCAAATAGCAGATTGGCTGCATAGAAGACTTCCTTCAGGCTCCTTACAACACGTCTCTTTCTTCAGCTTAACTGTGCAGCTACTGCAGACCCTACTGCGCACAAAAAAGGTCCTTATCTAAGTTATGTTGAGGTGAGATCAGGTGACATTACATTATTCCACATGAGGAAATACCTAGGTCAAACTTATCATAACCTGTACTCAGCTAGTTTTACTTTACATCCAGTTTAGACTCTAAAGGTCTCAGATTCTGTCAGGAAATTTCCCTCAAGTTTGAATCTAAACTTTAATCCCCTTAAGTTCAAGTTGCCACAGATCTGAATGCGTGAAGATGATCGGACCAACAACTCACATGTGTAACCAACATGGAGATGCAGTGCAGTGGCATTTTACTCCTTAACTGGTGAACCCTGCTATGATGCAGACGGGCAGAGGATGCGCTGGATTTTATCCATTGTAATCAAGTTCAAGTGTGACCACACGCACAAACAACTTTGGTCAAGCAAACATACACACACACACACACACACACACACACACACACACACACACACACACACATGAGCACTCTTCCTTGATTGCACTCACACTGACATTGCTTATGCGTTAGTTGTTATGGCAACAGGCGGCGGTGGGCAGGCGTGAGGGACCCAAGACGTGGGCTCTGAGCTGTTGACAGTGATGGCGCCCTTAACTGCAACACAAGAGTCAGCCAATTATACAAGTGGTGGAGCGTTAGAAAGCTGCTCGGCCCTGAGCAGCAGAGACACGCACACACAAACACACACAGATGCTGAGGACGTATAAAGTGGCTCAGCCGAGGCCCAATTTCCCCCCGTTAGTTGTTTTCTCAGGGAAAGTGGCTCATTTTAAGTCAAGTTGAGTCTAATTAAAGCTGCGCAGAGAATTGCCTGCGACAAGGCTGCGAGAGACATCGGAGACGATAAGGAGCGATATCGGCGCGTGTGTGTGTGTGTGTGTGTGTGTGTGTGTGTGTGTGTGTGTGTGTGCCCATGCAGTTTATTTTTGCAAACACCAATTTGGTTGTTAGACCTGAAAAATTTTATCCAGTCGTCACTTCTTCAAATGTCAGTTGCCACTTTCAGACTTGTATTTGCTCTCGTATACATTTGGACCCTTTTGAGCTTTACACCCGCAAAGTACATTTTAAAAAAGTGGGGACATCTTCATTGACTGGTGGACATTTTAGTAAAGTGACAATCTTTTTTTGGTTAGTGAGGACATTTTTGGTAAAAGAAGCGAATGAAGTAACATAATAACATTTTGGAAAAATTTCATAATAGTCAGGATATTTTCAGAAAGCGAGAGAAATATTTGATGTCTTTTTGAGGACGTCTTTGGAAAGAGAAGATCTTTTCGGAAAAAGGAAAATTGAGGACATTTTTTCCTCTTCTCACTTCTTCAAACGGCTGTTTGAGGGTGAAGATTTGATTTAAGAGTTAATGTTAGGATTAGTTTAGACAATGAAGGTCCTCACATGTATAGAAGTAACGACACCTAAAGAGCTGTGATGTTTGTCGTTTGATCAAAAAGTATCAATGCACTGCTGATCATTTCCTAAATGTTTGGATGTTTATTTACCGTTTTATTTTGAAGTAGCTTTCCTCGTGCGTTCGCTGCCGTTTACTTCCTGTCTTCATGTTGTTTTCCATCCGGTGTGATTGTCTGCCCTGCCCTAATGTGTTACAAACTGTTACACCTTGTTACCTGCTCCCTTTGTGTGTATTTAGTCTCTGTGCTCCCAGTTGTCTTTGTCAGTTCTTTTTTGTTCCTGCTGAGTTTCCCCGGTGTCTCATGCTGCTGTTCAGTTCCTCTGGTCTTTCATTCCTGTTCCTGAGTTTTTCTCTACCGTTTGGATTTTCTGAGTTATGTTTTCTTAGCAGTGCTTCAGTTTGCATCATCTTCTTGTAACTCTGTTTTTGTTGTTAAATACCCTCCTTTGCCCCGACCTGTGTTTGTCTGCATTTGGGTCCAGAAATCGTAAACCCGTGACATTAGGGCTCTTTTTGTTGGTTGGTTGGTTGGTTTAAATAAACTCTGAGATTATAACATTTGCTGCTGTTCAGCAAACTTTAGTTCAATGTACAGGTATTTGATAATGTACATGTGTGGCATTCAATATGAACTGAATTGCCGACAGCAGAGTTCTTGATTACAGATCTTTTTGCCGACCGACTAGCATCGTCCAGGTGCTGTCGTACCTCCGCTCCTTAAACTATAAACTGTGTGAAGTTGCTCATTAGTGTGTTGTAGTGTTGTTGGCCCCCGCCCCCCTCCTCCACTCACCCTGTTGATCAGCTCTCCCACCATGCCGGTCCAGCTGCCGTTGGGCTCCGGGGCTCCGTACAGCCCGTCGTCCACCAGCTTGATCTTGAAGGAGAACTTCAGGATGTCGGCCAACTCCCGGAGCATGTCCACGCAGAAACCCTTGTACTGGTCGTTACCCTGGAAGTCCTGGTAGTTGGACTTACGCATGACGTAGGGGTTTTCCTGTCAGGAGGGATGTGAGAGCATGCAGCTGATTCAAAGCAGGAGGAACACCAAGCAGTGATTCTTCATGATACAACACGTACATATTTATTTATTTATTTTTAATTACCAGTATTGTGGTGACAATTAGCGTCTTGTTAGCCAGCGTCTCCGATGCGTTGAGGTCCAGGGAAGTGGAGTTCATGGCCAACGTGTTGTTGGAGTACCAGGTACCAATCTGTTCAGCCGGGAGGAAGATGGGGAGTTAGGAGAAGGAGAGGAGGAGGTGAAGGTGAAGGCGACCAAACCTGTCTCGACAGATCAAAAAAGTTGACTCCAACTTTGGTGAACTCAACCTGTGTGTCCAGGTTTGGCCACAACTGAACGTATTTCATAAACTCATGAAGTCAGGAAACATTGCATAACCACTCCGTATTTCCCAGGTCTCTGTGGTGTTTAGGTGGTCATGGGTCACAGGTACATCCATGACATGGAGTGGGGCAAAAGAAAAAGGAGAACGAGGTCAAAGGAGAACAAACAAAGTGTGTAATAAAAGGCAAACAGACACACACAGAGGCCGTGAGACAGGCAGACAGAGGAAGCTGCAGAATCGATGCTGTAATCAATGAGGGCGGATCCCGCTCCTCCCGGCTCATTCAGCAGGTTAAATGAGGTCATAAATACAAACTGCAGCATGTAAATGCAAATCTGCTGACCCAGCACTGACCGCGTCGCACCTCCTGACCTCATCACCTTACCTGACCTCGGGTTTGTTGTTATCTGTGTTTTTTATTGGCTGTTAGGATACTGCGCTGACGCCCAAGGGACAGGCTGATAAAGAACAGGTGGCCACTCCCTCTCCAAACTACCACTGTGATGTGAAAACTCATCAGTGCTGCTACGATCACACTGACCTCTGCTCACTTAAATCATTTCTGGTCTGTTTTATTATCTTTGTCCCGAGTTTTCTCCGAGGCCTCATCGCACAGGATTTCAACCATGATTCTAACAAAACGTTTTCCGGTTTAACAAGCTTCCGCCGCAGGGTTGCGAAAGACAAACACGTCACTCTTGAGGAAAACTGATATCAATTTATATGTTTAAGTATAAGTATAAGTAATGTTTTTGACATTTGCGGATGTTTCTGTCTCTGGTTTTGTATGTTAAAAAGGAAGCTACAGACAGCAGCTGGTTAGCTTAGCTTGTCATAAAGACTGGGCACATGGGGAAACTGCTGTCCAAGGTTAACATAATCATCCTACCAGCACCTCGCACTAATTTGCATAGCGTATATTGTTTGTTTAATGTGTACATGTTTTACGGGGGGTGTGACGACCCCCTCCACCTGTTGCTTCCTGTGTGTGGCTGCTTCTTTTGCAGGTACCAGAGGTGGGTGTGTGGAGGAGGAGGAGGAGGAGGAGGAGGGTTGTCGGTACCTGGGCGGTAATCTGCAGGCCTAGCACACCTGGGCCCTGTGTGCTAGCGCTCTTAAACATGTTGCTGCGACATACAACATTGCATTCGCAGGCTTCTTCACTCATGCACCCACTTACACTGCTGATCTTACAGATCACACAAGCCATTGTTCTTCTCCTAGATTTAGTGTCTGTTTTTTTTTTAATTAAACATTTGTTGATTGGCTTGTCTGTGTGCATCTCCCTCCTTGGTCATGGCCGTGCAGACCGGGTTTGTGTCCAGGACTATTTCTTAACTAGCTGTTTCCCCCTGTTTTCAGGCTTTATGCTAAGCTAAGCTAAGATAAGTGTCTCCTGTTAGACAAGTTATGCATCTTTTCATTTTACTCCTGGCAAGAAAATCTAAATTTCAACTATGGGTAGAGACTATTGATACAGTAGAGGAAAGTCAGGTTTGTTCCCATTGTATTACTTAATTGATGAATCTGGATTTACTCTAGTGCTAATAAGTGATACTAAAGTTTGGTTTTATTATCTGAAGCTGAAGTTAATCCACGTTGGTTATTCGTGTAAAAGTCAACATGTAAATCGAGTGGGAATCACCCAAACTTGTATTACTTTGTACAGCACACTTAACCCTGGCCTGAGAGCCCATTTGACCCTGTGGCCTGAGTTGACTTCTGACCTTTAACGTTAATCCTAGGTCATAAACCAACATTCTGTTGGCATTGATTTTATTGATGGACCAATGACGGAACTGCTTACTGTGGAGCCGGTGGACAGAACATGACTGTAACCCACAACATTAAGGAAGAGGTTGTATTAACTGTGTCTGAGTTCAGTGGTTCCCGGTGTGTGAGTCGGTTGATTAAAGGGAAAATAAAGAAAAAGCATATTTCTGTTACTGATTATTCTTTCTACTTTCTGTTTGAGTTTTGCTTCTTCTCTTGGGCAATGCTATCAAAAGTCACAGGTTCAGAAGCTGCAGCTGAATGCTTAACTTTAACCTGTCCTCCCAATTGACCCCATTTGACCTCTGACCTCTTTATGGCCCCCGGGGTGCTTCTCCAAGATCTTCAGAGTGTAATTGGTCCTCTGGCCTTTGCTGTTGAACTCAATGTGACCTGTCAGACCATCGTACTCCACCTGGAGACAAACAGAAAGAGGGACCAGAATACACTGTTAGATGAGCTGTGTCTAAAACGTTTAATATGAAACTGATGTTTATTCAGAAACCTTCAGGAGGCCGTGAGATACGTTGTGTTGCTGGAATCGCTTGACCCGAGTTTCTACAACAGAATGGTTTATGACCCGCAATCAAAACAGCCACAGTTCAGAGAATGAAGGCTTGGTCACAGCTACTGCAGTTTGCAAGCTACCCACGAACATGCTGGCTAGCCAGAAGGATGCTGGTGATAGCAAACCAACTTGAAAGAGCTGACGTTTGAGTCCACAACAAAGAAAGCTATCACAGCACATTGTCTGTGTCGCTCCAACAACTCTTCCACTTTGTAGAATACATTTATTTTTAACATTTAACATTTCATACACTTGGTATTTTGAGTGCATACTTGCGTTCTCATGCATTGAGCTATGAGTACCCAGATGTTGCACTCAGAACGCTCAAAAAGACGTTAGCTACGGTTGCCATCTTGGCTACGTAGCGGAAGGGGAGGAACCACCAGCGTATTTTCAAACTCATGAAAACGGTGACAGAGGAAGGACGATGGTGGCGTCATTCCCGTGTCACATGACACAGGGGGCACACATAGGAAAGTAAAAACGAAGCAGCCGGCAGGTGGGTGACAATCGTGGTCACATGCTGCAACAGTGTTTGATTTGGGATAACACTATCCTGTTGAAATTCACGCACTACGGCAGTGAGTATACTGTGTACACAGTGTGCTACATGCAGGACAGTTGATCAGATCAGTGACAGAGTCACTGGTTCGCTCTCCGTGTGTGTGTGTGTGTGTGTGTGTGTGTGTGTGTGTGTGTGTGTGTGTGTGTGTGTGTGTGTGTGTGTTCGTAGGAATGTGCAAATGAGTGCGAGACTTGTGTGATGCATGTGCAGTCAAGCATGCATTTTTTTTTTGCCTGAGTTTATGTGAGTAATGTGTAATAGAGTGAGCGTACAGTATGAAAGCGTGTGTGTGTGTGTGTGTGTGTGTGTGTGTGCATATGACTCAAGATGAATTACATCCCAAAAACTCTGTGGCAAGAGAGACACGGGGGGGGGGGGGGGGGGGGCCAGAAGAAGAGAGAGAAAGAGAGAGAGAGAGAGAGGGAGAGAGAGGTTTCTAGCTGCTGCCAAAAACAGTGCAGAGATGATGAAGTGATGCACTGAGAGCAACAAAAACAATATGGAGGGAGAGAGGGAGGGAGGGAGAGGTGTCCTCAGCGGATGGCAAAAACAAGAAGTGGCAGACAGAGAGAAACAGACAGAACAGGATGAGAATAAATTAAATGAACATGGAAATGAAAGGAGGGAGAAAGGGAACGATGCCAGAGGAAAAAAAAAAAAAAAAGAAAGACAATAACACTCTCCCTCCCTCTCTCTATCTCTCTCTTTCTGCCTGTAGCTCTGCTGAATCTCACCACAGATCTGATCCGCAGCAAGGAGAGAGACCACTTCACCTCGTCATGTAAGAAATCAACAAGTCGTCCGAAACTAAACTGCAAAATATAATGTGTGACGTTTCCCCTCCAAATGACACATACAGGTGTATTGTAGATCTGACGCCCCAGTCGGCAGCTGTGGTCACTGTCGGGTCTCTGCTCTGCCTCCCCTGTGGTTCAGGTTTATTCAAGTTCAGGCACGAAAACTAGTTGATGGGATGTGAGCAGCAGTGTCACATGTCAAAGTCGGTTTGTTGACCCATTCATCCACCTTAACTCCTCCCTGAAAGGTTTAAGCCTCCATAACGACGACATCTAGCTCTGTTCCTGACAGACATCACATGACCACTAGAGGTCACTTGGTCAGGTTAAGTTTGTGTAATAACAGTTGTACACTGTGTGTGTGTGTGTGTGTGTGTGTGTGTTTACCATGCGCAGGTAGTTCATGAGGCTGGTTCCGTGCTGCCAGATGAGCGGGGAGGTGCAGCTCAGCGGCTTCACTCCGATCTCCTGACTGCGGTTCAGCTCCTGCACGGCGCTCACCACCACGTGAACCGCATCAAACATCAGGGCCGACGACAGCTGAAACACAGCGACAGTAAAGTCAAAAAGCGGATTTTTATTTTTTATTTTTAGTTTTTGTTTGTTTTTTTTAACATCCCTAAACATTTTTGGAAATGACAACCTCCACTGTGTATTCACTGAAAACTGTTTACTTAGACATAAAAGAGAAATTCAAAGGCTATTAGTTTGACTGATAAACTTCCGGATTTAAAAGGGGATGTTTGGAGTTGACAATATTAAATGAAAGAATTCAGTATTGTATGGACAAGGAAAGATTTATGTGTTTTTTTTTTTTATTGTTTGTTTTTTTTTTTTCAAGCTTTTTGCCTTGATTATAGTTACAGTGAGAAAGCGATAGGAAAACTGGGCAGAGAGAGGGGACGACACGCAGCAAAGGGCCACGGGTTGGCTTCGAACCTGTCCCACTGCGGGACGGAAGGACAGAGCCTCAATGGTACACGCTGTACCAGGTGAGCCACCGAGGCTTTTCTAAAACTTTCTTTTATTTGCTTTGGCTAATGGAACAATTCACTTGAATCAGTTAAGAAATTGTTGCATTTTTGAGATGTAAGTCTATTATTGAACTCATTTCATGGCCATTGAAACTTTTTTATACAGTTTAGTTTTAGAGAAATACCCGACAAAAAGATTTTAAGTTTTTATAATGCATCATCAACCAAAAACTTACACTGAAATTCAGTTTTCCCTGGCGGATAATTCAACTCAATTTAATAGTTCCCCCTCCAGACATGTTTTCTTTTATGTCTGATATTTTATTTAACATGATTTTCCCACATAAAAGTTTTGAAAAACTCTGAAAGGGTCTGAAGAAAATCTCCTCTTACTTCCTGATTGAGAAATTCTGGATCAAGCCCGCCACCACCTGCTGGTTCCAGCTTGACAGGTGAAAGAGCAGAGAGTGTCAAGATGTTTAGAGGAGGAAACATCAGAGAGACTCAGCCAGAACCAGAGACTAGCAGACGTATCAGAACGGTTAGCGTAGTTAGCATCTTTTATTTGTTTATGTTGTTTGTTAGCTTGTAACTGGCAGTGGCTAACACAATTACTGACCGCCACTGTGTTTAGTGGTTGTGCTCATGCTAACTCTCTCTCTCAGTACTGACAAGGTTTCAGTGTTATTTAGCCCCTCCTCCCGCCCCCACAAGTTGACAGGATTGGTTCCTTAGGTTTGTGACATATGAAACCCTGGCTGTCTGAATCCGTATTCATGAGACTGTCATTGGTTCACTGCAACGAGGAAACACTCAGTCATGGTGTTGATTGGATTTCACTTACGATATGTTTTGCATTATATAAAAAACATATGAACGTTAACTTACACTTGATTTTCATTGGAGGTGGTCTTTAATGCAGTTACCCATTACTGACAATAATTTACTAATACATTTGTTGTTTTTTTGGCAACTTGGGGGCAGAAACATCAAAGACACACACCCCACTGTATTTCCTGTTTGTAATGTGCTAACTGTAACACACCTTTAACTGTGTGTGTCCGCTGTTGGCTGCTGAGCTGGTGGACAGTGGTCAACATCTGCACAACAAAAACTAGCAGCTCAAAGAAGCTGAAACGCTCTGAGGAGCTGATGGTTTTCACCCCCCTACGCATCACACGAGTCGCTTGATTGCATCATATTCATGCAGACACCGAGTCGTAACCAGACAATAGTGAATAGTGTTTGTGTGTTTGTTGTTGCTCCTACAGCTGGAGGATGTCGGGGAGTGATAGCAGAAGAAGAAGAAGAAGCGCTCCCGCTATCAGCAGCGTTCAGAGTGCGGCTCGTACGGCTCATTGATCCTATCACAGTCTTGACGTTCTGGTCTGTTTGGTCAGTTGTCAGTCAAACAGACTCTCGGAGGGAATCAGACGAATCGTACGGAGGCAGAGCTGCGCGGCCTGTCGACTGCCGATAAAAGAAAGATGGATGTACGGCTGCGTGTGATTGGAGGTGTGAGCGGATAGTTTCAGGGCTGGATGACGATAACTAATTACAGCGTGAGGAGAGAGAGATGGATAGAAGAGGGAAGAGGAGAGATGCAGAGAGTGAAGAAGAATCGGTAGCTCTCACCTTGTGTTTATTTATTTAAACAAAATCATTGAGGGTAAAGACCTCATTCATAATGATGTCGCCGAGATGAAAATAACAGCTAAAAAAAAGAACATCAATTAAAACAAACACATAAATAGAATCAGCAAATGATGTAATGACAAGAATCAATTAAAACGGGTACAAACAGAAATGAAAAGGTTTGAGATTAAGAAACTAAAATGACTATAAATTAATTTTCGAAGTGCTTTGTAGTGAGTTTCAGGTGGATGGTGCAAAGAAGCCAAAAGCAGTTGCTCCAAGCTCAGTATGAACTGGAGGGACATGGAGCATGAGCCAGTCATTAGTCCTGGTGTCCCGTGGACCAGTGGATCAAACTAACATGGATGGAAGGTATAGATATGAAGGCAGTTTTCCAATAAGGGCCTTGTAAACAAACAAATACATATGCAAGTCACGCGAAAGAGAGAGAGAGAGAGAGAGAGAGAGAGAGAGAGAGAGAGAGAGGACCACCCAACCTTTTTGTACAAGATGCCATGAGGAGTGTTAAAAGCATCAGCAGTAATCAATCTGAGAGCAGAGTGGTGGGTCTGGGCGGCAGCTGAAGCACGTCTGTACAAGATGTCACAATATTCTAAAACTGACGAAACATCTCTGTGTGTTCGGTCCTGCAGCTGCTTCCTCTAGTTCACATATGAACCGGCTTTACTGTCACTTTAGGATTAGAACCTTACCATGTGTCAGTCCATTTTAACTGCTCGATGAAGAACTTCAAAATGTGCAAACACTGTAGGTCTGTGTTGGTTAAACTACTGAGTGTGATGTCGCCTCATTGCTTTGGAGATCGACCTCTCCCGACTTGATGGTCAATGTGAACTGCCTGTTGAACTGCCTGTGACTTAAAAGAGGATCTTTAGTCCTTAGAACAGAGACGTAGAACACGTCAGGCGCGTCAGTGAAGCCTTCAGCCAATCAGGACAAAGTGATGTCGTCACAGGGGTGGTTGAGGTGGTGGAGAACAACTGCGGCTGCCTGATTCAGAAAACTGAAGGCGCCTTGCTCCCGCGACGTTTTAAGGTCATGTGACATAATGATGTTGCGCATCGCCGGCGAAAGTCAGACAAAGCTCACTGATTTCTTGAGGGTCTAGGTGACACAAAGGGGGAAAACTACAAATCATATAGGACCGACACTGGGTCAGAACAATGCATGGATGCAGGTGACCCTGTGTAACATCAGCGCTGACTTCAAGCAACAACCTTAATCAGCGTTTCATTGTTCTATATCCACCAACAGGTCAGATGCAGGACGTGGACCCAGGTCTCTGGTGTCAAAGTCCTTAACACCTCCCCATGACTCCAGGTCAGTACTAGATTTGTGGACCAGTGTGTGGAGTTACAGATTGGAGTTTCCCATTCATGTACTTTTGAATTTATTTTGGGACGAGTGTTGTACGACATTTTAATTGTTTTAATTAATGATTTTTTTATTTAACAATAAAAAATAAATAAAATGACACCAGGTTTCTGACTGGAAATGTTTTGTCACATCATTGAGTCATTTCAGACTGATGCTCTTCAGATAATGGCCATAATCACCACAAACATAAAGCTCATCACATTCAAAACCACCGTTTTATTTATGGGTCGTTCCCACTCCTTTGAGCACCTTAAGTGAATAACTATGAGTAATAAACCCAGAGAGGATGCTCCTCTGCAGCAATGATAGCGTCTTCAGTGACTGAGATGAACATTACTATTATCTGCATTAAAGCCATCTGCTCAGGTGTTATTACTCTGCTGATAATAGAGCTGTGATTGTGAAGAAAGCTCTGAAGAGATTGATTTGTCCTGATGGGTCTTTTCATTATGGAGGAGGAGTGAGACACAGAGAGAGATAGCTAAAGATTAGAGGAAGGAAATAAGGCGACGCTGCAGCTGCACAATGTGCAATCAGACCTGGATCCGCAGACGTGTCGCTCTCTTCTTTTTTCTTCTTCTTCTTCTTTATATACAATCTGTGTTCATACATTATCTCATTTTATCAAAAACGTGACCTGATTATTCTGCCTGTGAAAAACTGCACAATTTGTTACCTCAAATTAAAAGAAGAAAAAAATATCACTTTTGGGTTGAACTGGTCACACTGAGTAGACATATGCAGGGTTCAACCCCCCAGATTAAGACATTCACCCCCCTCCCAAAAAGAGGTAAAAACAACACTTGAAACATTATATCCTTCTTAGCTGAAATTGTAAATACTACAATGTATATATTCTATATAAAATATAGCCTTAAGTTACAGTTTAGCTAACTAATGTTAGCTTGTCATTTCCTTACTGATATAAAATATCACATTATCTAATGTCAGCAAACACTTAGTAGTAGTTGTAGAGATACATTTTGAAATCAATATAGAGTTCATTATTTTTATTTTAATGGTCTTGTGTAGTGGTTTAGTTCTTGATAGTAGCTTCTATAATATTAACAGATTGTTAGAAAGACTGTAATCTTTAAAGCAAACGAAATAATTGAGATGTCAGGATATCTCCGCCTCTGCCCATTTTAAACATTTTGATTTATTCATGATTTAAAGATATCCAGTTTGAAATCTGAGGGGAAATAAGTTGTGTAAAATCAACTCTCAGGGTGTCAGTGTGGAGACGTGTCTCACCGCTGGGCCGGGGTACGGGCTGATATCGCAGCCTTCCCTCCAGGACAGGTTGAGGCTCCTGATGAACTCCAGGTAGAACGGATGGCTGCTGTTGAGCATGGAGAAGCCCACAATGTTGGACTGATCGTCCACCACGTCGTCCAGCCGGAGCAGAGGGAAGTCCTGGAGACAGAGGGGAAGAGAGAGGGAAAGAAAGAGAGGGAGGAAAGAGAGGAAAAGGAAGTCATATCTTCTGGCTGTCTGCTGTGATGTGCGTTAACAGTTTGTTCAAAAAGCAGGAGTTGTCAGCTGCAGAAACAACGACCACTTAAGATCACAGCCTGAACGAGGGAAGGATAAAAGAAAGGCAGGAGGAGGAGGGAGAGAGAAACAAGCGAAGAGCTTGATTGGAGTTTTCTTTTGCAGGCTTCACAACGTCAAGTTGAATTTTTAAATTCAGAGCAGGGTAGCAGAGAGAAAAAAGGCTTGAAAAAAAAGAGAAAAAAAAAAAGAAAAAAGATGGACATCAAACGCTGGGGAATTTCAAAGAACTTCAAATAGTCCTTGAAGGCGAGTTGGTGTCACGCTGAGCTCTGCTGCTGAAACAAACCAGAATCAAACCGCCGCTCGGCCCTCGGAGGGCCCGTGTTTGCTCGGCAACAGATGCTGACAATGAAACATTTAGCTTCAGCTGTTAAGTGTTGACAGTCCAGGCGGGGCCTGCGTTTCAAACAAGACGCCGCAGTTTCAGATCCAGACTGAAACCAAAGACACTTCACCTGCCGCTCTCAACTTGTTCCTCCTCTCCAGATGAAGCGTTCATTCATCGTGCTCCACTGTCTCTCTTCAGTCTCAATTCATGGTTATTTTCTGTATCAAAAATCTAAGTTTCGACAGAAACGTATCCAGTCGGCGTCACAAAGTTGGGCAGACAGAGCGTCATCATCATTGTTTGGCGGCGTCTCCGGTTGGGTAAAAATCCTCTGGCCCAGAATCTATCCTGTCTGCAGAAACGGTGTCTGCAGAGGGTAAGAGGCCTGTAGACGTCCAAACCACAGAGCTTCAGTCAGACACCCTGAGGACACTCTGGACCTTGGAACCAGCTGCTAACCTGTGTGTGAGGTTAATTCCTCTCTACCCTGAATCTCTCCAACACTTATTTACTTAGCCAGGTTCCGGCCAATCGGGAAGCTGCTGCTGCTGCTGCTGCTGTTGTAGTTGTTGCTGCTGGTGTGGCTGCCAGTTGCCAAATCAATTTCAGCTACAGCCAAGTCCGCTGTCAGACTGTAGGCCCTGCCAGCCCTGACAAAGAGCCGCTGGCTGGAGGAAGCGGCGGCGACCGGGCCAGCTCTGCCGAGGGAGGAAACGCTGCGGCAGCGTCCCAGAAGGACGCCGGCGACGCTGTGACTGCAGCAGGACGTTCATTTAGACAGAACCAGGTTCTCAGGCCGATGCAAGGTCAGATTCAACACGGGTGAGACTGGTGTAAGCAATAAGTGAGATTTAGATTCTTTCCTGCTCCATTCTGGAGAACAGGACCGTCATATATCTGCAGGGGTTTGAGATAAGGATATTGATCAATACCTGTGACTGATTACTTCACCGAGACTCTAGAGAGTTCTGTCTTTTGAAACTTAGTTCTTGGCTTGAAGTCATTCTGGGAGACACTGACCCCCCCTCTATTAAAGGTTCCGTATTTTACACTTTTCCTGTGTCTTATTTGAAGTGATGATCCATAAGAAGACATCTTCATGGTTTTAAGCACCAAAAACCAAAAGCTCTAGTGACAACAGGTCTGTGACTGTTTTCTGAGTGATTACTCAGAGAAACCAAATCCTGCAAGGTTGGATGGCGGGTCCAGGTGGGCGGGGCTTGGGGCACAGCTGAGGCTGGTTACTGCTTTGTTGTGACATCACAAATTTACAGAAGTCCTGACAGCTGGTTTTAATGATCAGTTCCTGAATACAGGCTGTGTGCATTTCTCTGTGGACTGAGCGCTTTGATACTTTCACAGTATTAATATAGAACCAAGACCTGCTTTATAATCAAAGAAGACATGGAAATCTAGATCTATAAAATATGGGACCTTTAATATTTATTAGATTCTTAATTCTGGTTTCTAAAAAAATAGACTTAGTTCATGTCTCTGCTGTCTTTTGCTCACTGTGGCCTACAGGGCGACACATCACCTGTACCCATTGCTTTTTATTTAAGCCCAGAGTCACGGTCAATGTGCATCTTCTGTCTGTCAGGCATGTCAGCTGATGTTGCGCTATGCGACGCCATCAGTATGTGCTGCCTGGGCAGGGTCATGCTGCAAAAGTACCAGTTCGTACGACGTCGAAGGCGGTGTGAAAAGCTGGTCGTCATAGCGACGGGGGAAGACGTTCTCAACCACATGCACGGTCACACACATCGGATGATACATCAGGGAATCAAACCACCGCCCCTCAGATTATTCACAGAGAGCTTTGTGCAACGAATGGAAGAAAAGAGGTTGATAGAGAAGCCACACAGCTGACCGGTGACTGCATGCAGTGGGTGTGATTGTGAAAGTGTCAGTCTCAGAAAGATACAGAAATGGTAGCATGCAGCAGCCGCCGTTTCTGAAGCCGTTTGACCATCGGAAGGTGAGGTTAGTGCTGTGAACATTTAGACCTGATGTTGATGCTAGATGACGTCACCAAAGTCATTCAGATTCCTCCTGAGGGGAACGTGATCAATTATTCTCATGTCAATCTGACCAGTTTTTGTCGGGACATTTCAATCTGGACCAAAGCGGTGGACCGGCTGACTCACGCTGTCAACACACAGGAGTTAGTGCGGAGGTCCAGATGGCGTCACTCTGGAGGAGATGTGTGATCCTGCGGTGGATTAGATGAAGTTTAATGAACTTTATCTAATGTTTGGTCTGACCCTCGTTACACACAGCTTAAGGCTGAATTTTTGGCGCGTTTATGACTCAGTCTCGGCTCTGTCATCAGCTCTGTTTTCCAGCAGCAGCTGTAGATGAGTCTGAAACAGACAGAACGAGCAGTAAAACCAAAACAGGGAGCTAAAAGAGGCTGTAAAGCCCCACATTCACATTTCAGCTGTTGTTCTTAATGTGATTAGGCAGCTTTAAGAGCTGAGATTAATTTCATTTTTCCTGTTTATCCTGTTTTTTTCTTTTTCCATTCTCACTCGGACGTCTCATGGCTCCACCTCTACGTAACGTCTGTCACCTGAAAGCTGTCTGTCTTGTCACAGTCAGCAGAGCGTGTTTAAAACAAAGTTACAGGTAGGTCAAAGACAACGCTGCAGGTTGGTCCCTATCCAGCGTAGGGGGAGGGAGGGGGGGGGCGGCGGTTTCGCCCTTGGTTCTGCGACCACTGCGTGAAGTGCCCTTGTGAACGGCTCTGTTAACGTCTGTGACACGACGAGAGGCGGGGATCGAGACGAGTTATTATCCACGCAAAGTCTCTTCGCACAAGGGCACGATACCGGACAGGGAAATTATAAAGATGACAAACGGCGACGGGTACCAGCATGCATCTCTGATGAGAGGAGAGAGGAGAAGAGGGGAGTTATGGGTAAAGAGGAGATATATGAAGGGGGGGGGGTTACAGAGAGATAGCTGGGGAGTTTGGTTTTAGGATGTGACCCAAAAACATTTCTAAAGATCGGTTAGGAGGAACAAACTAACATGGGGGATGATAGAAGGATGAAGAGGAAAGGAAAGAGAAGAGGGAGGGGTTTAGGAGAGGATAGAAAATAAGAGGAAAAGAACAGAGGGAGAGAAATTTAGACAAAATTAGAAGTTGTGGAGTTTAGGGGGAAAAAATGAAAGAAGAGAAGGAAACAGAGAAAAAACAGCAATGGAAAACAGAAGAAGGAAAGAAAAGTGAAAGGAATGGATGAGAGGAGTGTATGGATTTAGGAGAGGAAAAGAGGGAAATGGAAAGAAATAGAGGATAGAAAAAAAAGGTTAAAGGAGGAGAGAGGATTGGGAAAGAAGAGCAGGAAAGGAAAGGAAAGGATGATAGAAGAGGAGTATAAAAAGAAGGGATATGAAAAGGCAAAAGGGGAGGAAACAAAGAGGGGAAAGGACGGACCAAAAAGGAAAGGAAGAGATAAGAGAAATGGATTGGGTTTTGAGAAGGAAAACATCAGACAGACTGAAAGAGGAAATAAGGTTATAAGAGAAGGTTTAGAGGGGGCTTAGGAGAGGAATGGAAAAAGGATGAAACCAGCACTTGTACCGAAAAAGGCGAGGATCATCGTCTTTATGAGGACGAATGGAAAGAGAAGAAAAGAAGTGGATCTTAACGGAAGATGAGTGAGTGAGTGGGGGAGGGGCTGGAGGGGCAGGAGAAACCGGCCGATCGCTTCCTGATGGACGTACAGACGAGGCTCCAAGCTCTTACCATGGTGGTGAGGATATACTTGTAGAAGGCTGACGTCATCCCCAGCTCGTTCGCCTGCAGGTCACCAGAGGAGAAGAAGAAGAAGAAGAAGAAGAAGAAGAAGAAGAAGAAAAAGCTCAGTTAGCGCGGCGAGAGCAAAAATAAACATCCTCAAACTCTCTCTGAACCATCTGCTCTATATTTTCCACGCTGCACACTCCAGTTTGTCCTAAATTGGAGACAATTATGTTTCACCCTGACAGACTGTGTCAGCGTTCCCGCGTGTTGAGTAACATGAAACAACCTTGAAACAGTGGTTCTGTCTCTGAATTCAGCCACAGGATGCGTCAGTGATGAAGAGCTGGAAACAGTGAGAGGGGGAACAGCAGCTGAAAGCAGCTCAGTGAGTTCTGACTGGCTGATTTACAGCTTTAATCTTGGCTAAACTCACATGTCTGGGGGTTATATGCTCATATGTAAACCAGGCATCGAAAAACTTTTCAGTGATGCCCAGATGAGTTTCAACCTAGATGTCGACATGTCTTCTCACCTGCAAATCCAAAACTCAGAGCCGACCGAGAGCAGGTTCTCCTCAGTTCTACTCCCTGCTCAGCAGAGCTCCAACCAGACCTCCGCATGACCTCCTCCAGACTTTTGCTTCTAGCATCAATGCTAGACTATGTGGGGCTCCGAGGAAAAGAAGCCCATTGAAGAGGCCCCCGCATGCAGACTATCGTTAGACTCTACAATTTACAGATGTCCCCTAAATGCCTCACATTCAGACTATCAGCAGAGGCTACAATTTACAGATGTCCCAAAAACACCTCACATGCAGGCAAAACAGGATGCAGGTCTGGATGTGATGTGGGTGCAGATCTGTGTTTCTGCAGCTTAAACCAGCTGGAACAACTCTACAACTAACCTGCTGCTTTTTCGGCTTTAGCCTGTTGAACAACAGAGCAACTCTCCCACCACCGATGGGATTTCAACTGGCAACCTCACAGCGTAGCACCCCGCAGACCGCCTGTGATATTAAACCATTAACCTTCCACACACTGCGAGCTTCCCGCCGCTTCAGCCCGCAGGTTACTGAGCGCTGTTATTTTGTATTCTGAACTTCTCAGACCTCCAAGGTTACCGAGCAGAGAGTGAAATTACAACCTGCCAAAAGCTGCTAGATTTAGTTTGGGGCTGTAAAGTCTGTCGACTCTACTGGCCAGGTTTTGGCACGTAACCAATCTGCGCATGTAGGTCCTGCTCTACACGGTAAACACCACAGAGGAAGAAAACACACAAACAAAGCAGGAAATAAAGAGGCAACAAACAAGACAAGAGGAGCAGGACTGTTCAGAGTCCCAGCTGAGATTCTTTAAAAGCCTCGGGATATTCCAGGTCTGCCGTTAAGTGCATTAAACAGCTGCGTCTGCCGAGTAAAACAAGTTCATGTTTGCACTGGGACGTTTATCAGTCCCCACAGGAGTTAACAACACAATGGCTGCGAACTCTGCAGCTCGATAACCAGATGGAAACTCTGGTGGGGATCCTGGTGGGACTGAAACACATAACATTATATCCAGATGTCATTCTGCAGTTCGTAACCCTTTGGCACAATCACTATCTTAGGTTTGATGCAGGAAGTGAGAGCTTATGTTGTCCTATACCGATACTCTGGTGGTAAAATATGTGATTATCAGACTAACCATAGCCTGCTGTCTGTCCTTCAGTGGAGTGGTGACTGTTTTCCTCACACATCTCCACCTGACTGTCACTGGTTTGACTGTTTGACTCCAACCTTTAAAAACTCTAAAGGTTTTTTTTTTTTTTTTTGGGGGGGGGGGGGTGTTTTGATGTTGTGATGTTCTGCTCAAGCAGTAACGTACAGGGCTGATAAATGAGGCCAACACTGAAGTGCCAAAAACTGCAGTTGCTGTAAAGACCACCAGAGTCTGGCTTTAAAAGTGAGTCATTCCCCACTGACTCCCATGTTAAAATGTCTGATTTTACAGCCTGGTGCAAAAAACAGTTTTGGACTCTTCAGCTAATTTCCGCCTTCTTGACAACTGTACGGGTTGTTTATTAAGGTTTAAAGTTATGCAGAATGGAGGGCGTGGCCACTTTGAATGACAGGTAGGTGAGCGTATGTTCGCAACAAACCAGCATGACCCGAAGTCTCTGCTCCACACACACCCCACCTCTTTGCCCGTTTTTGGATTAGCTGGGAGTTAGGGGCGGAGTCAGGAACTGCCAAGATGACAACGGCGAAGCAGCTCACACTGAGCTTCATAACTGCTCTTCAGAAACCTGTGGGCGCCATCACGGAGGCTACGTCCATCTTTATTTACATTCTATGGTTCTGCTATGATCAATTACCATAATGATGATGATAAAACATGATTGATCTATCAATCATTGCCACCTGTTTATAACTGAGTCAGACAGCTCTTAAACCATCATGTAGTCACTAGCAGTTTAAACACCTCAGTCATTAATTACTCTGCCTTCTCTCTGTGAATTAGCATTAGCTCATGTCGCCTTAAGCCAAATGTTATATTTCATAGAGGGGAATTCATTTCTTCTGACATTAGTGGAGCTGCAGGAAACCTTGTATCCGTGAGTGGATAAAGCAGTGTTTCAGATACTGTATGTAAGAACCATGTTGATGGGACATCTGAGTCGCAGTAAGTATCATCACTCTAACTCTTTATTTCTATTATGTTTTCTTGTGATGTATAAGTTTTGGGGGTCATGCTTTGTTGACACGAAGCATAGTGTTCCCATGAAGTCAGTCAGTGAGAAGAGCTGAATCTCTGACCTTCCTGAGGATGTGGTAGGAGATGGAGGCGTTGGCATCGATGATGATGGTGGCCACTTTGTCGTCACGGATCTCCTTCAGCAGAGGGGTGGGGTCCAGACTGTCGTCCAGCATCCGCACCGACAGCGTCTCCCTGGAGATGAGGAAGCGGCGGACCAGCTCCTCCAAACGCAGCAGGCCTAAAGGGCGGGAAAGACGCGTGTAACCTCATTAAAAAACGTCAGTAAACATGCGAGTGTTTCCCTTAACATGGAATTAAAGCTGGGTTAAAACTCTCAGGACTTCTGTGGAGCTGAGAAAGACACAGGTTAGGGAGACAAGTGACTGATGCTGCTCTAAAAACATCCAGGCCTGAAAAGAGGCAATAAACACAGACAGGGATAATGGTGACTGTTGAGTTCATTAATTTTCCCCTCAGAGAATCTACTTGGGCCCGTGAGTCCACACAGGCGAGACTGGATTCACTTAAACTGATGATTACAAACTGATACTTTTATATATGCAAGTTTATTAAAAACATAAAAACATATAAACATCTATGTGTCTATCTATCTATCTATCTATCTATCTATCCATCTATATATCATGTCGATCTTTTCATTCTGGGAAAGTGGTCTCAGACTTCTGGACCCCGCTGTATCAATATATATCGACAAGTTTTGGGATGGATATATATTCATGTAACATGTCTATAATATTAACATACATACATAAACATATATATGTTTAGCCCATACAAATATGTATATCAATTTATGAAATTATTCCAATTTCAAATAGGTTCCATATTTAGTTTTTTTGCTTTAATATTATATGTACATATAATGTGTATGTCATACATGGAAATTCAATATATGTACATATATTACATTTGAGCACGGGTCGTTATTAAAATCTATCCTCAGGAAACAACAGTAACCACGGGTGTTGTCGAATCAATGAAGACCGAGCCTTCACAGAGTCGGTACAACCCAGTCACAGCGCTTCAGACAGATTAGCCCCTCCCCTCACACCTTCATCACACACACTTTACAGAGTGGACAGTCAGGTGTGTGGAGGTGTAACAGTAGCAGTCGCTCTGTTTTTTTTTTTCCTTTCTTCACACAACTACATCCGTCACTTTCTATTGAACAATAACAGATTTGTTCCCACCCTGTGGGTAATTACATCCCCTCAAGTAAGATCGGGGCCAAGATTTTTCAAGTATTGAATCTAGTGCTGAAACTACTGATTGGTTGATCAACAGTAACAGTTAAAGTGATTGATTATTATAGTTTCAGTTTCTCAGATGTGAGGATTTGCTGTTTATATCTGTTTCACATCGGGACACTGGGCTCTGGGAGCTGAGGATGGTCATTTCTCATTTATTTAAAAAGTAAAACAGTAATGAATTAGAAGCCACAGCAATCTGATCTTCAGAAGGAAAACAAACATCATCCAGCTGTGAAGCCATGCCAGTTCACAGTTAAATCAAATTCTGCTTTAATTGTCTATTTTTGTCACTACAGCTGATGTCCGAGCCACGTGAATGTAATGACTGTGTTTTATTTAGTTGATGGAACAAATATTGAAATAACAATACATTTAAAAAGGAGGAGAACTGATGTGAAAAGTTTCATTTTTAAATATTTACTGAGTAACTTTTAGAAAAATGGCTGGTGCACTTGCATCAGCTCAGCGTTAACATTCAGAGCCGTTCCCCGGCTCCCCGACACGTTTCCTCCTTCCGTCCCTGACAGAAGCAGCCGGCGTGTCTTGGCTAATCGACGCCATAAAGCGTTCATCACGACCCTGCTGCGTTTAACCGGCTGACAGCACCGTTCACCGCAACAATACAGGCCCGTTAAGTGCCGCCGTTAACGGGCCGAGGATGAGGCTAAAGACTGAGAGAAAGTCAGTGGGGCATTTAAACAGTCAGCAGGGGCAACCCAGTCAGCTGGAGACACAGGAGAGAGATCAATAAAAGAAGAGAGGGAGGGTGAGGAGGAAGGGAGCGAGGGCCAGAGCTGAGGAAAGTAGACATGAGGAGAGGAGACAAGAGTGTTGAGGAAATAAATAAATAAATCAGAGCATCTTTACACTATCGACCGACAGCGATCCAGCTCATCAGAGAGACTCTAATCCAGTCTGAGGACTCTGCTAATCCACAAACTGACTCAATGACACACATTATGACTGAATGAATGTTTGACTCTGCTGACCGGCTGACTGCATGATGGTGGGGTTGGGGAGGTCACCAGCTGATTTATAAAGCAGTCATTTATAGTCCTGCTTGCATGGTCTTGCTCCATCTCAGACGATGTAACTGGACTCTAGTTTTAATAACAGAAGATAATTCGATGTTGCTTTGCAGTGTCACTTTGTTAGCTGATGCATCTGGCTGCAATAAAAACTGCACATGCAATTTGGGTTCTAGATCCAAAACCCCAGACTACAGGCCATAATCACACACAAGATCAACATCAGTATTGATAAATTAGGGATACACCAATCCGACTTTTTCCTCTCCTGATACTAGTATCTGTGGATACCCAGTACTAATTCCTCCCCCCATTGTAAATCAGTACATCTCACTGCATGAACCTCATTGGGATCATTTTACAATTAATGTGGATCGATCCATGTTCGACTGATATACAATCTACTTAACAAGGTCAGTACCTGCACTGATAACCTCAGTACAAATCAGTTATTACGGACGCCATTGTACCTCTCATCATCGAACTTTGTTAGAATTGTGATAAACGCTGTTGGGAGTCACTAGTGAGGTACTAGCTGTGTCTTTATGGGCCAGGTTTAGATAAAACTCAAAATTCAGTTTCAAAAAGTCAGTTTAAAAATAACTTGTTTAGCTAGAGTCCTGTTTTTGTTATATTTGGTTCTTTGATTTAGCAGCACCCATTTGCCCTGCCCCTCCTTTTAGTTACCCTTAGTCATTGATTGTATCATTATTTATCACCTCACCAATAAATGCCATTGTGTTACCAATCACATCTGGCTTTATTAACACAGTGCATTCCCACAATCAGTTTAACGTGGCAGCAGTTCACTTTCATGACTCTTCACACTTTAATCCTTACTTTATATTTACAGTCTTCACATTATTTTCTTCAACCTATCCAGTGCACTTCATTGAACACACCTTATAAATCAAACTGTAGTTCTATTGAAAGAATCTAATTATCATATTTCATCTTCAACCAACTCAGAGCTGTTAATTTGCTGCCTTGAGTGCAAATGAACTCCATCCCCCGGCCACAGGAACCAAACTTTAGTCAACACTACCAAGTTCGCAGAAACGTCTTGCTTCTTAATGAACCCCGACTGTCCCCGGTACAGCACATTCAGCCACTCAGCACTTCCACGAGTATCTAATTCCAGCAGAAAATACTGTACAGACTCAAGTTGAGCTGATAAACATGAATAATCAGGACAGGAGCTCATAAAGGTCCCAGAGAGCTGAGCGGCAGAGCAGCTACAGCGGCTCTAAAAATCAAACGTTTTCAACCTTGGAACAGATGAGGCGGCACTGTAACCATCAAACAGGGGAAATGAAGAGATGTCGAGGACAAAGTGGAAAGACTCACACTCTGCTTTGGCGCAGATGAGGCTAGCCGTTGGGTAACCGAAAGAGCGCAGGATGGATCCGATGGCCAGACTCAGGTCCTCGTTGCTCGGGTAGAGCGTCACTGAGGCGAAGCGAAGGTACGGCAGCTTCGGGGTTTCTTCCGGACCGATCTTCACATGAGGGATCTGAGGGAATGAGGGAGGAGGAAGAAGAATTATTAGGGAAAGAAATATGACAGAAGAAAGGAAATGATGGCAGCTTAGGGGGTTTCCTTAAGGCCACTCTTCATGTGAGCGACCAAAGGGAAAGTAGAGAGAAGTAAGAAAAATGATTGACCATTGAAGGAAAGGAAAGGCAGAATGACAGGCAAGAGAAAGGCGATTTAAAAAGGGAAAGAAAATGAACATAACACAAAAGGAAAATGAAAGAAAAGAATAAAGAGGACTGAAAAGCAGGAAGGGGAGAGAACGGGAGGTGATGACATCAAGGGAACAAATATTTCAAAAACCATCAAACCATACAGGCTTTAGAGGGAGTTGAGATAACAGACGTGAAAGCTTTAATCAGTCTAACAATCGCTCATAATCGAGTCTTTGTTCCGTCTCAAAAGGAAAATCTGAAAATAGAGTAAAGCCCCGATCATCAGCGATGTTAGAAAAGTGTTTCATGCAGAAATCACAGAGACTTTGAAGTTCACCTCCACACAGAGGAAATATTCATATCAGGATCGATGGGGAGGATTATTCTGGAGAGAAAGAAGAAAACTAGGAAAGAAAAAAAAAGTGTCCAAATGGAGAGGGTTCATCCTGTGAGGGGCATGACCATGACCACGACCGTGATCTTTTCTTTGCCCTACCCAAGAAGATTTTTCTTTTTTGTATCAGTTTAGAAAATTTTGTTGTTTAGTTCAGGGCACGTATTTGAACTCTCACAACCCTTTATCGTCACAGCAACTTTCCCAGGGGCCTAGGAACTATTTCATAGAGTCTAAGAAACATCAACCTGCTTTTGGACTGGAATGACCTGGTACCTGATCAGAACTGCACGAGTTCTAATCAAGTATCCTGTATCAGGTCAGGATCAGGCAATTTTGTTGTGTAAAGCTTTGAACTTTGGTTGGGTTTCGACGTTTCCAAGCGTATCTGATTATGAAATGTTTCTGTTTCTCCCTCTAACTGCATCTGAGATCCCCTTCCGAGACACATTTCCCATGTTGGTATTGCGCCACCCGTATGCCATAACTTTCCGAAACTGAAAATCCAATTGTCTCTCTCACTTCACCCCGTGATTGGTCAGTTGTACCATATACAAATGGGTCTGTTACACAACTACTCCTGCCACTTTCAATGCACAAAAAGAATGCAACACTACGAATGTCTTCCAAGAGAGACTGTCAGCAAATGTGTGCCTTTATCTCCGTATTTTAACGATTACTGCTTCTTACCCTTCGCTATGCCGACTGGCTTTTCACCCTGCTTCCAGCACAACTGTAAACACATCTGTCTTAAGACAAGACCCTGAGGCAAAGCTTTCGATTTATTAGTCAATCTACATTCCAGCCCTCACCTATATGGTCGTGAGCACTAGGTAGTGACCAAAAGAATGAGACTGCGGATACACGCAACCAAAATGGGTTCCCTCTGTAGGGTGTCTGGGCTCAGCAATAGAGATATGGCGAGGAGCTCAGAGTAGAGGCGCTGCTCCTTTGTGTTAGAAGGAGCCAGTCAAAGTGGTTCAGACATCTGATTAAGATGCCTCCTGGCCGCCTTCCTTTGGAGGTTTTCTAGGCACGTCTAACTGGGAGGAAACCCTGGGGTAGACCCAACACCCTCGGGTCTTGGGATCCCTCAGGAGGAGCTGGAAAGCGTTGCTCGGGAGTGGGATCCACTGAACTACACTGCTAAGTCTGCTGCCAACACAACCTGACCCTGGGTAAATGGAAGAAAACGGATGGATGGATTCTATTTCATACAACAGTGAGGTCTGTGAGACACCAAACACAAGGCAGGCGGATCTCTGAACCTGGTTCTAAATGTAATTGCTCAACCATAGTTTCTGGCACCCAATGTTTCCGTGGCTCCTTAGTACAGTAAGTATAATAATGGCCCAATTAAACAATCTGAGACCTTCTGTTGATTTCAGAAATACTGAGACTGTTTCAGTCCACAGAGCAGAGGTCCTGTGACTGACACTGTCTCTATTTAAGCTGAAAATTTAATGACAAATTGAAAAATTAATCACATCAGTGAATGAATGAAGAATCGGGTCAGAGGCCAAGTGTCCTGTGTGATCCGGCGCTCAGTGATTTAAACTCGGTTCACACCTGCAGAGGTTTAAATGTTAAACTGTAATTAGCTCAACGGGGCTTCGCTCTGATCTGCGCAGCTTATTTTAAATCCAAGCTGAGAATTCGATAATATGAGACCTGTCAGGCAAAAGGAAAAAGGATACGAGGACGGTTAAAGGCTTAAAGGCAGACGGAGATGAACTAGTGTAGATTCACCGAGGCAGGAAAACAGAAGTTAAAGCCTCTAGAAAATCCATACAGGCGGTTTGACACCAGCTGCCTGGCAGGTGAAGGGTTTCACTGTTTCACTGTAGAAAAATCCACAGGTACAAATGTGAACATCTCCTCTCCTAAACATTTCATCTGAGTGACATCATACTTTTATGAAATCAATCATCTTTTTTTTGTCAACAACTGTCCCACTTTAGCCGTTTCATAAGAATATGATTTGTAATTTGATTCATCATGTTTGACTTTGGAAGAGAAATACGTCTGAAGTGTAAAGTTCAGAACACTGACTCAAGTATTGCACTTTTACTAGAGTTTGGTGAAACTCCCCATCGAGTCTTTGCTGTTTGTCAAAGTCACATTTTCTTAGAAGTGCAAAACCCCACCAGTGCTGTGCGAAAAATTTAAATACATGTACTGTCAAGGATTTAGGATTTCTAGACCCAAACGCAGAAACAAGCCCAAAGCAGAGCTGGTGCAGTTCACAGATTTATTAAAACAAAAGCACAAAAGTCTTAGCGGGAGGTGAAATAGAATCCAAAGTCCAAAAACAAAGGTAAAACACTCAGGAACAAACACAGGAGCTTGATCAGACACTAGGGAACACGGCAGGGACAAACACAGGCGAACTGGGTACATTGAGACTAAGTACACCCAAGGGGAGCAGGTACACAGGTGTAACACATTAGGGCGGGGCAGACAATTACAATGGAGGGAAACTGGACAAAGACAGGAAGTAAACCACCCATGCGACACAGAAGGGAAGTAATATCAAAGTAAAACAGGAAATACACAAAAGCCCAAACATAAAGTCCATAAAACGTCCAAAAGAAAGAAAGAGCAGACCAACAAAAACCAACCTCATGTTAGCAGGAGCTCCGAGGACAGATGTGACTCACCTCTTTCTCCCCACAGATGTGACTGATGGTGGACCCGGAGGCCGGGCTGGAGGCGGGTCCAATCACCGAGACCACACCCTTTGGGAGAATCTGACACACTGAGAGAAAAAATACAAAAACAGAAAGGTTTGTATTAGATATGAATTTGACGGTTTTGTGTTTGTGGGGTGAACCAGAGAACATGGTAAAACTTTATTTATTCAATATGGATTGTAGCTATCTACCCTGTGTTATACTGGGTGTATTAGATATTGGTGGATGTGTACTGTGTCATTTAGTGATTTGTTTTTACCAAAATCTAAGAAATAGGGAGAAAATCAAACCATAAAGTGGAGGCAAAAACTTCTGAACACTAACACACACAATGAATGTTCCTGTAGTCATTAATTCAGGGACTAGATATTTCTTTTGAACTAAAGTTCTACTTTCCTTTTTTCTGCTTCTCAGAGATAAGAGGACTCGAAAAGAAAAATCCACAAACCAACAGATCAACTCACGCAGCAGGTAAGAAACAAAAAAAAAAAAAAAGCTTTTAGGAAACAGAACTGAGCTTCAGTCACATTCAGAATAGAACATGAGCTCGAGTCTGTTTTTTTTTTGTTTGTTTTTACTTTGAAACAAACATGAAAAAACAACCTTTTTTTGTGATCAGGTTTTTGAACTTTAAAACAGACACAGAGAACAGAACACACATGGATCTGACTGTTTCTCAGTGGTGACTCCACCCCCCCCACCCCCACCCCCATTGGTTTCCCGCAGGTTGAGAATTGCCGTGTGGTGGTGGGTGGTGCACCGTGTGACTGATGTGCATGCAGAGACTCATCAAGTTTAGAGGGGGAGAGCGTAACCCAGGTTATTTTTAGTAGCTGCAATTTACAGATATTCCCTAAACACCTCACTTGCAGGCTATCAGTGGACACCAGCTAGGCGGCTGTGCACAGAGAAGCCTCCAGTCCTCACTCAGTTGCTGCCGCACACACAACTCAGTTAAAATCTATCTAATGTGAGTTTTACCTGAGCTGAAGCCAAGTGATTTTATCTACCTGGGTAGGCCCCACACCCAGAGCCTATGTATGGGAAATGCTGTGTTCGCAACATCTCTCTTGGGGATACACACATCATTAGGGGCCCCACTTACGGAGGTTTTGTGGCACCAGCATGTCTTTATGGGAGGTTTAAGAGGGTTTATGGTTGTCATTGTAAAATGTGGCAATATGAGGGGCCATTGGGGGCCCCTTTTCCCCAAATGTTTTTTGGGGGCTCCAAACATTAGCCTGGTCTCCCTCTCCTGATGGTGCATCCTCAGTGTGGATGTTTTTATTATTGTACGGTGGTTTTGTTACTTACTGTTTGTCTATGCACATAATGCAACGTTTGTACTGTACAATTTGTGCCCGGATCATCTGAGTATATGTCTGTCTGTGTGTGTGTGTGTGTGTGTGTGTGTGTGTGTGTGTGTGTGTGTGTGTGTGTTGCTCTGACAGAAAACATTAGCTGCCTCTCCATCGGGAAGTCTCTTTCTGCGCTGCTGGCAGTTCATAATCAATAAACGTCCTCAGCAGCTGCTCTTGCAGAACGCTGCTGCAAGCTCTCCGGTCACCATGACCCTGCTCCACACACACACACACACACACACACACACACTCCTCTTTGTAAATCTGTAATCTGTAAAACACCACCACCACCCATCCATCTTTCTGTCTGTCTGTCTGCTGCCATCATGTCTGAGCAGATATCAATCAGTAAGTTCGAGTCTCTAATATATTTTCTTGCCCTCTGTGGTTTCTAGCCTTTCTGATAATTTAAGTTCTATTTGTCCAGATGAAGACATTTTTGTTGAAACCACACCCACTTCCATATGGTGTTAGGGTTGCAGCTTTGGTCCGTATGTTTAGGCTTTCCTCATACAGAAGTGGGCGTGGCTTTATCTAATCTGGGCTGGAAAAATAGATAGATAGACGTATCCAGGTGTTTTGAAATCTGTCACCAGTGCAATGAGACTTTTTGTTTTTACAACTTCCGTTGTTGTACCTTTAGTTTTCTGTTATGATAAATCAATTATGAGGTGTTGGTACGGATTCAGTCATCAGCAGATTTAACTACTTGATTTGGTTCATTTTAAGGCATGTTTACTGTGTAGCTCTGATGAACACGTGTGGTATTTAAAGTGCAGGTTCACCGAGTGTAGAACAGCCATTTGCACCTGCTGCACTATTGACCCGGCTTGTTAAATAAAGGTTGCTGCTTTATTGCTGTGCTCTGCTTCCTCACACGGACGCTTACTGAAGTTTAGCCTCGCTGGAAATGTCAAGGGAGCAGATTCAGCTGGAGGGGTAGAGCTCACCGCCAGGCTGTCAGCTGGAGAGAGACAGAGGAGAGAGGACCGAGGCTTACTGGTGTCAGTGGTGTCGTACTGGGAGTCCTTCTGCAGCTCGTAGACGTCCACCTCCACCTTCGCCTGGGAGGAGCCCTGCATCAGACTGTTGATGTTCTCCCTCGCCAGAGCCAGCGCCAGACGCTCACCACGACCACATACTGACTGGTCATCCAAAATGGCCGCTGCAGGAAGAGAGAGAAAATGAAGTCTTTTTTTTTGGTTTGGTTTGTTTTTGGTCTTGAAGGAACGAGGCATCCTGAGGAAAGAGCAAAACATAAAAATGCAAGAGAACAATAAAGTAACATCGACTGTTATGGAGGAGAGCTGTGGGTTCAGTCCCAGGGCAAGCAGGATAAATGTGAAATAGCAGCAGTACCACCACTGGGGTGCCCTTGAGCAAAGCCCAAAACCCCCAGCTTCTCTAATGCAGCTGCTTGGTGTCCAGCCGTTAAAAAACAAAACTGGCAGTTTTGTTAATATATAGTTTGTAGTGCGTGTATAGTTTTTCCCTCTACATGTATAAACGCTTGGTTTTAACCCCTTAACGGTATAAATACCACAGTCATTATCTCAATATTATGTTTTCCATGGTTATTTCAGGGCAGATAATAATTTTTATGTGTGTAGAAACTTTTCATTCTACCTCTCTGCACCCACTTTTCCATCGACATGTTCTGTTTGACTGAGGGATATCACCCTACAGCTACAGTATGAGACCTTGACAGTCAATGGGTTGTTTATATGCACCCCCTCATCCCGAACACAGGCTTTTCAGATGCCATTTTATCAAACTTCTTTCCTGTGCTCACAAAGAGCTGTCTCCAGTGGTGGAATAAAAACCACCTTGTTTAGATTCTATTTCTATCACTTCTTTTCTTCTGATGAAGTTAGCGTGCTAACCGGCTAGCTCCGGCCCAGTCGGCCCATCTTGACACATTCTGATACTGAGTTACTGTAGCTTCCAGTCTGCACTGAACAAGTAGCTCTTGTTTTGTAAACACAACGATGGCTGAAGCCCCCTCGCAAGACCAGTAAGTAAACAGCTGCTAATGCTAACGTCGGCTATGTAGCAATAGCAAAATTTACAAATAGCTCCTTTAGGTCGTGACCACAAATACACAATTAAAGATAAGAGGTTATCACATGACCTTCATAATATCTAAAATCAATGATCATTAAATTATTGCTGCAGGTAGTTTGTCCTGTTTAACATAATTTATTTGTTTAGAACAGTGTAAAGATGTAAACACCTGCAGGGGCCAGAAGTATAAAATTCTTAATCTCTGTCCATGGACAAAGACAAAAAATATTCAGACACATTCTCCTGGTTCTCTGTCATAAATCACAGTCACTGCAGAACTGGGTGCAAACGCACACACACAATTCATCGCCTCATTTTCACTCCCGCAATTAGACAGAAATGGACGCAGATACGCCCTGAATCACTTGTTTGAATATCGATCGACCACTCGTTAGACCTGTCAGTGAGAGGAAGAGCAAGGAAGAAGAAGGAGGTTCTCCATCAGAGCAGCCGTCATTACGTATGATCATCACACATGGCTGTGGCTATTTAAAGTGCCTGTACCTCAAATTCATCACACGTACCTATAAACCATTAATGTTGGTGATATCTCAATCATGATAATTACATGTCGGAAGGATGATCAGTGATTCATTTGCTACACTATATTGTAACAGACAAGTCAGGATGAAATGAAAAGATCATTGTGGGGATTAATAAATGTAAATGTACATCAAAATAAAGATATAATTCTTATTTCATCTGCAGAAATAACAGTGTGAACGCCCGCTCTGAATCTGTTTCCACTGACACATTCATCCCCATATAAATACCAGTTTATGTGTAAGAAATGGCGTGTGCATGCAGATACAACACCTATAAGGTGTAAATGAAGCAATGATGATTGGATCTCAGTCAGGTGAAACACAACCTGTACATAATGAGAGGAGGAAACATCACCGGTACCCAAAATAGATTCTTTACTCCTCGGATTTCAACAGGAGGCAGAGCCGAGTTTTCAAAGCGGCTGCGGCGAATGGAAACGAGTCGTCATCGTTTCTATTTCCATGTACTAGAGATGTTGAGGAAATAGTACCCAGTGGCTGTGTACAGTAACACCTGCCATGTTTATTTTGGTTGCCCCCCTCCCTGCTGACTTGCCTCCTTTGCATATCGAGCACGCTCAAAAAAATACCACGATTGCAGAGCTGGCAGAATGCAAATGATGAGAGTGCTCGCAGATAGCAGATGGAGTGTGATCAGGTAGTTTATTATATGGAGAGTGTATCCAGAGCCAGATCACACTTTAATACCAGGAGGTAAATAATGTCGTGCTGCTGCGACTTGAACTGAATACCAGATGAGAACAATACTTTCTTTTCTTATTTAAAGACAGAAGAGGAGTAAAAAGAAAGAATTTCAGGCTCAGGACTTGATTATGAGCCTTAAAATGGATTTTTTTTTTGCAGTGTAATTCATCCTTCCTTATTTCCCCGTTTCAGTGGACACCGAGCTGTAAAGCCGCAGAGCAAAGACACCGCACAACAAGACTAGAAATCAAAGTGAATGTGCTGCCGAGACTCAATAACAAGCAGAAAGTCGGCTGCTGCTGCTGCCGGGGTTTGTTCTGGATTTGATTTGTGTTTCTTAAATAATTAACGCTTCTCGGGGCGAACGAGGAGGCGATTTATCGTGGCCTTCCTAAAAAAGGACTGTTGTGGGTTTTTGCAGTTTAGAAAAACACAAAGAGAACCAGATGGGTTGTGCTGAGATATTTGATGCTCTCTGGATCACTGTGGTGTGTTGAGTTCCTCAGGAAAACGACTCCGAGAAGGATAAAAACACAAAGAATCACTATCACAAGATCTGAGTCTTTCAAGGCATTTATAATTCTTTTTGTTAACTGGTGGCTTTCATCAGTGGTAGTCCAGTATATGTATTTAAACCCTTATGTAAAAGTACCATGACCCCAGTGCAATAAAAAATACCCAAGTAACAGACTACGATTAAGATTTTTACTCACAGCAGTCAAGTATGAAACCACTCAACTTTTCAGTTCATAGATTCAAATTTGAAAAGGGAAAGAAAAGTATAGGAAAAAAGAAAAGAAGAAAGTTGTAAAGAAAGAGAGAAAGAAAGGGTCTCATGCAGGTTGACTAAATATTTTTCTCTTCCGTTAAGGTCTTAAGTCCTCATTTTACTGATGCGACGGCAGCTATTAGTCCTGCATTAAAACAACACAAGTGTCTGCGTTGGTGTCGGCGTGTTTTCTAAGCGGTGTTGTAGTCGAGTCACTAAATCTTGAATCCGAGTCGAGTCTTGAGTCCCCAGTGCATGAGTCCAAGTCCATATCCGAGTCACCAGAGAAGAGTCAGAGTCAAGTCAGAGTCGCCAGATAAGAGTCAGACTCGAGTCTGAGTCAAGTCTAAGCCACTAAAGAAGAGTCAGTCGAGTCAGGTGTCAAGTCCGAGTCACCAAAAGAGTCTGAGTTGAGTCCAAATGAAGTTCCCATTAGTTGAGCCCAAGTCCGAGTCATCAAAGTTGAGTCTGAGTCGAATTTCAAAATGGGCTCCAGTCAAAGAGCGGACATACAAATCAAAAAGTCAAGATTTAACACAAAAGACTCAGCTGTCTTAATTTCAATGGGGCATCATTTATTTTGCTCGAGTACGAGTCCGGGTGTGAGTCTCAAGTCCAGGTTGAGCCATGAGTCTGAAAGTTTATCAGACAGCAAAAGACTGAATGTTGGTTTATAATAACCATTGCTAATGATTATGTTTTTAACTGCATCGATCATCAGGTAAACAGCAGAAATACAGTGCCAATGTTTCAAGTCATCGACCAGGAATGTTTGCGGGCATGTATTTGATTGGCCTTGGTGGATGAAATCGCCGCAGCTGAGTTGAGGTGGGTTTTGCTGGATGAGTCTGCAGTGGTTTGCTCGGGCCCCTGCTTTGGTGTCCCTGCTGCTTTGATGGACCAACTCCATTCCAAGGAATGAGAGGCTGCATTTTGTCACTAAGACCTAAAGTCGGTCAAAGAAAAAAAAAAAAGACAACTGCTCTGAACTGTTCTTCACAATGTTCCCTCTTTATTTGGAAAACTACAGATGATGTTTGCTGGTGCCAACATGCAGCTCGGTACTCTCCCAGAATGCCCTGCACTCAGAGGGATGGAGGGGAGGAGGGGGAGGATGAAGATGAGAGCAGAGATAAAGAGTCTTCTTCAGCAGCCCCAGAAGTGTTCAGACACTATCTCTGTTTACACAATATCTGGTTCTCTAGGTCACTGCGACCACACACACACACACACACACACACACACACACACACACACACACATAGGAGGCTTGTTAACACTGCTAGTGAGAGAGGAAGACGATGAAAAGGGGTAATCACAGAGGGTCAAACACTTGAACTGAGTTCTTAAAGTTTTGTGGAGTGGAGCCGCTCTCTGGTCTCCTGGTGTTTGCTGTAATGTGAGAAGCTCTGAAGCGGCCATCTTTGTTATCGGCCCAGCGCTCATTAACATTCATCTATCAAGAGACAGGAGGAGCTGAGACACATCAGGCATGTCCGAGGAGAAGAACGAAGCCCTGAATCATTATTATCCATTAAAAATAAAACAGTGCAGGGACTTCAGACAATCTTTGACCGTTTACCTGAACTTTTCAGACTATTATTTCTCTGAAGAAGTTAACTTTCCCCTCACTGTTTCCCACAGTCCAACAGGACAGTGTCTGCTGAAGATCAGAGATCAAAGAGGCCAATTGAAACAAGAGGAATCTGACCGAGGAAACCAGATCCTGAAGAGTGAAGATCAAGTTGACAAGATGAAGTCGCAACAGGACTTTTCTTTCACAACATCCTGAGCATTCATCAATAGAAAATCTAGATGTGTCGCCCTTCGCCTTAGAGCTGTTTTCTTTATTTCTGTTACAGCAGCAAGACTGTAAATCGTTATTTGTGTTGGTTTCAGAACATGAATCAATTTTTTTTTTTTTTAAATCTGTGGTCGTTTTGAAGATTTACAACTTCATGAATATACCGACTCGAGCGCAGCCACACACGTTCTTCAAATACCTGCGACACAAACAATTTCAGAAACACGCTGCAAGTAGCACAGACGACAACGGAAGTGTTTCCAGGGGACGCAAAAAGC